CCTCCCATTCGGCCTCCGTGACGGATCCGTGTTTCCTTTTGAACTTAGTCTTCATGACCAGCTACACAGTGCGCTCGCCTGCCAGACTCCATAGTTGTTGGGCCACTTCTTGTCGGCCTTCGGGTCGATGAGACTCACCTTCCTGCAAGGGCCCACACGGGACGAGGGCTGTCTGCTATTTGGCACACTGCGGAAGTCAGCGACAAGTCAGCGAGTCGCGCGCTTCCCGTACTGCTCGGCGAGCAGGTAGGCCAGCAAGGTCCCTGCTGGGCCTGCGCCGATAATGGCGACATCCACCTGCACGGGCAGCTCCCTATAAGACGACTATATCTGTCGCTGCCGCACCTCCTCCTCGTCGAAGACCTCTGCTGCCACAGAGAAGGCCTCCTGCAAAGGAACGGAGGAGAGCACCGAGCCGAGGGGGAAGCACAAGAAGCGCCAAGAGGGCTGGCGGAGCCTTCGAGGCCGCTCGCAGCCGCAGGCTCTTCCTTCCATGTGCGGCAGCCCCTGCAGCCGTCGCCTGGCATTTGGAAGAGCCTACAAAAGGCCTAAAGCAAGCCTAAGGTAGACGTGCCACACCATTTACTGTTTGGTGGCTTCGGTTATGTGTCCTCCTCCATCCTTACAATACACCCAAGCCAAGGCCGAGGCGGTTTGCTTTTGTCGGCTCTGCCGAGGCGAACGGCTCTCTCCGTCGACTAGAAAGTGGCTACAGCATGAAACTCCACCGGGCGATGTTTACACCCAGCTCCGGGTCTTGTCCATGGAACCCAACCAGTGTAACCACAACTTCGGATCGTCTGCCTGCATCAGCCCAAGCTCCACTCTCCAGAAGCTGCACTCCTTCCAACTCCCGTCGGGTTTCAGGAGGGCACCTGTCACAAAGCTGTCCATGGGGGATGTCGCTTCGCTCTTGCTATCAAAGCTCCGCCACTTCTCCAGCAAGATGACCTCACCCTCCCAGGACGGGAAAACGCCCGACAGGCTCACAAAGGCTTCAGGGGCCGCAGCGCTCGGTGAGAGCGAAAAGAAGAGGAGCCCAAGGCAAACGGAGGCCCAAAGCCGGCCTTTCACGTCGTCAAGTCCCGGGGTGCTGATGTTCAACCAGCCCTGAAGGCTGGGAAGCCCCGCCAGCCACGGAACTTGTTCTGGTGTCACTGGTGTCTGTGGCAACTGCGTCGGCGTCTGCATCTGTTCGATCCCGAGCTTGCCCTGAAGACTCACCGAGCGCTCGCCCGTCAAGCCCGGCACACTGAGCTGCGCAATGGGGGACCTCCGCACGATGCACCAGATCTTGTAGAGCAGCTCGTCTGGGATCGCATCACTGGTGTTTACCGTGGACTGCTGAAGCGACTTGAAGGCATCGAAATCCATGTCGTACCGCCGCTCATAGAGGTGGTGGTGCAAGCAGAGCACCGAGAGCATCAGGTGCTGGAGTGCCTCAGCACTACCAATGTCCGTCTTCAAGTCCACACCCTGGACTTCATCCAGGCCCACAGAAGGAACCTAAAAGACGGAAGGCAAGGAAGCTCCACCATGAACATGGTCCTACCATGTCCCTACCCCGGACAGCCTGCGCTTCGGAAGGCTGTCCTTCTTCGTGGCAGGTCCACCAGTTTATGGCAATGGCATAGGTGATGCGGCTGATTTGCTGCAAGTCGTCCGGCCTTAGCCCCGGGCCGAACCCCTTAGAAGACTTCTGGGCATGTTCTGAGCCTGTTTGGGGCCCTGGGGATCCCGGCCAATCGAAGCCGACGCGGGCTTCCACTAAAGCCGAGATGACTCCAGTGCCCCAGAACTCGCAGCGGCTGAAAAAGGCCAGGCGAAGTGTCTCACCTCGGCAAACCGAAGCTGCAGCCCGCAACCCTCCTGCCACATGAGTGGGCATTGCTCTTCTTTTGGTGTCACCCGCCGCGGCGATGTGAACTGCTGAGGCACCGGCACATGGAAAAGGTCTGGCCAAGGAAATAACCGACAGCCTCAAAGCACGGCAAAGCCAAGCGTTCGTTTCCTCTACCATTCCTTATGCATCCCGCTGTCTATAGCTGAGCCTGACCCTGTAGGGCCCGGATCGCAAGAGTGAGAGGAGACAGGCCCCACTTGGCGCTGCTGGGTCTCGGTCGCTAGGGTGGCCTGATTAATTGCGGGCCCTTACCCGCCTTAGCCCCCAAGAGTTTCTGTTTCAAGACCACACAGCGCCTGAAAGTGAGCCTTCCAGCGGTGTTAAAAGGATTCCGAAGACATGACGTTAAGACTTCGTGCCACTGCATGAAACCGGCAGGCTTCACGCGCGCCTGTCGGTCGATGTCCTCTTGGTAGAGGAACTTGGAAGAGCTCCTGGGGTAGTCGTGGACCAAGCCGGCAGCGCGGATGAAAGCAACGCCGTAGCCGGGCTGCGCATTGAAGATACGAGTGGCGACGACCACTGCTTCCTTCTGGCTGCGCAAGTTGGCCATGGGCTGCTGAGGCGTGAAGAATGGCGTTGGCAAGGGTGCCTCTGAATCATCTGCCTCCGGCCTGTCCCAATAGAAGTTCCAAGCAGCAGCCGTAGTGGAACCGCGGGAACCCGACAGTAAATACTCCTGGAAGGATGCGAAAGCAGCGTGTGTGGCCCCATCCAGGCACATGTCCGAGGGCAGCTCCCCATGGCTATTCCGAACCCAGGCCGGTGCACCAGCCTGACATATAGCCATGCAGAGGAAACACAAACTACTCTGAGCTACTGCTCCAGCGACTCGCGGCACTGGCCGGGTTCTGCCTTGAGGAGGAGGACCACGATGCTGCAGCGCGACATGCGTGCGGCCACGTGCAGGGGCGTCCAGCCGGCGACGTCGGCGCGGTCCAGCGCAGGTCGGTGCCTCAGCAGCTCCAAGACCACGCTGCAAGAGCCAGAACGGCAGGCCACCTGAGCATCTTCCCATCGGCCACATGCAACGAATACGAGTAGGGGTCGAGTGGCTATAAGTGCAAAGCCAGTTTCTTACCCTAGCTCTCGGCCGAAGTGGGCTGTAGAAAAAAAACAACGCACAGACTTGGGATGGCCTTAACAGTTGATTGACTAGATTGAAACCAGGCCCTTATACACCAACGCATAGCGTTCGCTGCTCGCTCTTCAAACCTTCGCTTGCCAACACAGTCGCCGCTGCTATAACCCTCCATCTTGCTGCCACGTCGAGGCGCGTGCAAACCGGTGGTGCTGTTGGCATCATGGGTGCTTGGAGAGGCACCGAAGCGCAGCACCCATCTCAGGGCCACCAGGTTGGAGGTGCCACAGAAGACCAGAAAATGCCTCGCGGTAAGGTCGGAATCGGGACATCGCATCTTGAAACTACGACTGTACCGCCAACTAGTTATACTCACTGAGTCTGGACTTCTACACACCGGCCTGTCCAGCAGTTTCAAGTTCTGCAATGTCTCCGGGAAGATGGCGCCAGCAGGACATTCGACTTCGATGATTTCTTCGTCAAAGGTTCCACACTGCCCATGGCTTGGTATGGCCTCCAGCAGTCAATAGAAGTCAAAGGACTACATGAAGGCTGACGTCCCCAACAGTAATACGAAAGCCCTGAATCAACTTAAACAGTTTTGCTTCATACATCTTGACAAACACACAGGCAGGAAAATAAACAGACAGAGTTGGACAGGCGCATGCGCGCTGAAAGGACGCACACGCGCGCGCGCACACACACTTTCTGAGACAGTCTTCCGCAGCCACGCAGCAGTCACCAAGTCCAGGTATGTCTGCCCATCGCGGTCACAAGCGTGGGGCGACAGGCACCAGGGCTTCTCAGCACAGCTCCGTGCTGCGCCCATCACATGTCATCTTACGGACGACGCCCTTCTTCCATCCGAAGCGAGGGCGCTCTCAGCGACTTAACAAGACCTACGACGAAGGAGGCCAGGTGGTCGCTGAGTTACATTGGGTCTGTTTTTTGGCTAACTGAGGCTGGTTTGTGCGGGTTACTGCTGGCTGCCAGGCTACAGTAGCGCGCCAGTAAAATAAAAGACGAGCCAAAGACAGTCGTGCATTGAAGTCGACGCTTGACAGCAGCTATGCCTCTGAACATGCGTCTGCAACGAGCCGGTGTTGCCAAGGTCAGGCTCCAGAAACCGGAGATACCACCGTTTCGGGAAGCCTAAGAGGAGCAGAAACCGGAGTAACCGGAGAACAGTGGATTCGTCGAAAGGCTGCAGTGCATCCCTGTCAGGGCCCGGCATTCTGGGCAGACTTGCTGACCCTCGACGGAAGGCCTGGAAACTCTGGGCTGCTACCAGCATCGTGACTGCATTTTGAGGGCTTGCATCAGGATCTCGCGTCCGGCTTTGCAACGAAGGGTGTCACTCGACTGAGCGTCTGATACGCGAGGTGCCCGTCGCTTGGGTGGTGACTGGGCGTGGCCCCGAAACCGACGTCGACCGTTCCTCTGCGCTCTGTTGGAAAGGCGCCGGATAAACGGCTCAGACTGTGCCACAGTCTAACACACATCAACATCTTTGCTTTGGGGGCGCGGCGTGGGCCGCCTAGGCGAAGCGTGCTTGGCCCAGGCAAGCCTGCAGGGCCTGTCAGCGCTAGGCCGGCGGTTTCTTTCTGCCTTGCCTCTCTTGCATTCCTTTGCCAGTCCTGGGGTGACCATGCTGCCACACCGTGGTTGCCTTCACGAGAAGAGAGGAACTATAGACTTAGAGCGAAGGCAGTGGACTCCGAAAACCGCCATTGCCTGAACAGCTGGCGCTGCAGGCTCAGGGGACAAGTGTGTAGGCTAGACGCCGTCCAGCTTGCTTGCCTGCCTGGCTGCCTAGCTTGGCTCGGTCATCAAACCATGAGATGCGTCCGTCGAGCTTGGCACCCATGCGAGTCTAGATGGTCTATGGATACAGCCGTGGTGTGTTCCAAGCGCTGAGCCGAAACAATGCAAGAAGCGCTTCTGGATACAGGTACCACTGGACATCTGCGACTCGTCTGTGACCTGTGAAGTGCCAAGGGCACTTGCTGTCGTGTCCTGATCTGGGCTGAAATGCAGGAACGCCGAGGAGGCGCTCGTCACACCTGCGGTCATGTGAGGACGAGGCTGCGAGGTCTTGCAAGCAGAAAGGCCCCACCGCGGCTGCGCAGGCACCGGAGCACTTTGCCCAGATGATCCATGGCTTGGACCTTGCAACAGGCAAATCTCTTACCGTAATACCGAGTAATGCCTCGTCCTCGTTTTAACTGTAGAAGGAGATGACCGTTCAGAGAGAGACATCAGTGACATCTGAGTCAAGGGCCGCCGCGGTGGCGGAACTCGACTGACCTCAAAAGCTGTGCCATGGTTCTCGAAGCCGAAAGTTCCTCCCCCTCGCCTTGCGCCAAGCCCAGCGGCTCCAAGATGGCCACGAGCGCCGAACGATCTGCGAACTTCGGCAAGGAGCGAGCGCTTCGAAAGTCCCTTCGTGGTTGCCTCCGGCTTCTGCAGCCCGCAAGAGTCGCAGACCCCGCTGTGACGTCTTGAGAACCTGACCATGAGGCTGCAAGCGATGCCCCAACATCCCTGCACGATGCCCCCTAATATGATATATATATATATATATATATATATATATGTGTGTGTGTGTATATATATATATATATTTGTATATGTATATACATATATATATATAGATATATACATAGAGGAGCTCCAGAGAGGGACCAGGGCCCTGGCATCCCGCAGAGTTCCGTACTCCTTCTGCAGCGCAGCCAATTCGCGAGAGCACTCCTCGGAAGCCGCCGCTTTTTTCCACTGGGAACTTCTCTGTGCCAAAGACGCCCTTTCCCGGGCACTTCTTGGCAGATGGCTAGCGTCTACATACGCTCTTTACATTACATAGAATCTCCCCGCCGCCCTCTCTCTCTTTGTGTGAATATGATAGATACACATGTCCACATCTATACCTGTGTCTATATCTCCTATACGTCTAGTATATATAGATAGACAGATGGATAGATTGACAGATAGATCGATCGATAGGTAGATAGATAGGCAGATTAGTATAGATTTGATAGATAAACGATTAGTTTCAATTACGCATACACGAACGCATATCACACATGCAATATTCAGGCTTAACACTCTTGCATACATATTACATATATATATATATGCATATATATATATATACAGAGACTTGAGACACACACACAGAGTACTCCACCGAGTTGAATTGCAGGCTTTGCAGGACTCCAAACTCCGGATGAGCCCTCTGAAGATCAAAGAATCCGGAAAAGGCACGGACCTTGTGATGCCAGCTCGAGATCGCCATGCGGGCGATGGGCGACATGTCGAAATCCTCATCCTGCATTGGCTGAGAGGACACTACGGAGGCTCACGGAGCATGCATCGAGCTTCGAAGACAGACGGACAAACAGACAGGCGGCACGGTGGCCGATCTGTGTTTGCTGAATGTACGATCAGAAAGCGGTTGCCTGTGATGGGATGGCAGTGTGGGGTCTCTATCCGCGGCTCGGCGCATGCAGGATTGCATTTTTGACACGCATCAGCGAGGCGTGTACCGCTCCTGCAGTGCAGAGCCCTTTTGGGACGGAGAGGTTTCGCACTCCCGCTGTTTCACCTCAGCTGTCCACACCAAGTTGTCATCAAAGCCACAGCCACAGCAACAACGCACCAAGCACGTCTAAGGGTCATGCCCAAGCATGCAAAAAGGCGGTTGGGTTCTCCGGCTGGCTGGCAATGCAGTCAATGGCCTCAGGCTCAGAGCTGCTCCAAAACACACCGCTGATAGGAATCGACAGGCTGGCCGAGATGTAGGCCAGAGCACTCAAGACGGGCTCCAAGTGATCTGCAAAATACCTGAAGATCAGTTTGTGCCTGTGGCTTGCATCAAGCTGGCCGTGAGTGATTCAGGGACTCGGGAGTGTTTGAAGAGATACCAAGAAATGCGTCATGTGTCTGTGTGTGTGTGCATAGATGTATATATGCGGCGGAGGTATTGTGCATACAAGGACAATTGGCAGATCGACAAGAGATAGATAAGGAAGTGGAACTCGAATGCTAAACAGACAAACACACAGGTAGAAGTTACACTTACAAGGCGATGGTGCGCAAATGCGTCATCATGAGCGACCCGCGGGCGGGAGCGTCTTTCAGGTCAGGCTTCTCAACGGCAGCTATGGCTGAAACTGCTCTTGGGACAGAAGTGGCTGGAATTGCTTGCGCTTACAAAATCGGCCCCTTCGAAGTGCGGAGGTTGCGAAACTGCCTTGTGAGCAGGTCTTTCGGACTGAAACGACCCAAAGTGAAACCGTCACACCTTGTGCGGTGTGAAGGTCATCTCTGTGCTTGCCTGGTATGCTGGAGGCGTAGGTCCACTCTATACTAATGTTGATTAAGCGTGATATTTCATAAGCATATCAATCACAGACATGTAATGTTGGAGAGGTTCTCCTGCATGGCCCATCTATCGCAAATGAAGCTCCATTTATATGAAAAGCATGTGAAAAGGCATCTGGTGCAAATGGTCGGGAGTGCCCCATGATGACTGCTGTGTTTCGATTGCCAATATGAGCATGGGGTTGCCCAAGTGCACTGCTGGTCTGCTCAGCTGACGCCACAAGAGAGAGGCAATGTATGGGATCACGTCCCACATTCAAGAATTGGGTATATACTTGACAGAACTTATATGGATGATTCTTGGATGAAAGATCTAGTGAGAAGATGATGTATCTGCTAGCCAGTCGACCAGAAGGGTTCAACCAGGACATGTCAGCAAACGCTTCATATTGCATATAGATGTGCAGATGTCCTCTTTCAATACAATGACAGCGAAACTTGAAATATGGTTTGACTCTTTCAATTTCCTGACCCATCCTATGATGGCACTGGGACTTATGGACTGCGACCGAAATGGTCTCTACATATTCCTGGCAGGTTCACATTGTAGCTATCAAGATTCATGCAGCAATCCCCATGTTATGATGATTGCCTTCGTAGGTTGTCAGGTCGTCAGCTATGTGGCATGGCTTGTGCGGGAACCCCATATGTTTATAATGAGCAGCTCTGCACGCAGGACTTCAAATGCGAGAAACTTATTGGAGTGGGAACCTCCATCAGGCAGGACCCAGAGCAACAATGACTGCAAAAGATGACCAGCTTCTGAGTAAGCCTTCACAACAAACAAGCTAGCATCCGTACGACAAATTGTATGGGAAGAAGAGTCAAGGACATATGAATAGAAAATGGCGGATCTGTCTGGGTAGCTTGCCTGTATGATATCAGGCATTACTTCTCATGTGCTACAACATACGCCGTAAATCTCAATTCAAAGTAACATGATGCCACGCACTTGACTGGTCTTGGACTATGCATGCACAAAATGGCAAGATATGTTTGTGTTTCTTAATGTTGAAATGCAAGAGATAGATGGACCGGTGCCACCCTTTCATGGGTTGAGACAAACATGGTTTAGCCGTCAAGTTGCAAGAGTCCTATCTTCAAGAACGAAGTATAGAACATGTGCAACAACCGCAGGATTGACACGAGATAGATGTGTCGGAATGTATCCATGAGAATTCCAAAGTGAAAGTTAGTTTAAAAGCATATTTCACACTAAATGGGTGCCCATATCAAGACAAATAGGATGGTTCAGCACAATGAAAATTCATGGAAAACAGCGTTTTCACTGTAAAATATGGAGCCCGTACTGTGATGCACTCTCCAGAACATATGGTATACTTTTATATACTCGGGCAAGCGACAAGCTGTGTGTTGCCATGCCTTATCGGTCTTGGAATCAAACTTTCAGCCCAGTGCTGCCCGCGTATGTACATACGCAGGTTCATACGAACTGAATGCCAACAACTCACAGAGCGAGCGAGAGAGCACAGAGACAAGCAGAGGGAGAGAGAGAGGGCGCGAGAGCGCGAAAGCTAGAGACAAGGGACCCTCAACCCTATCAGCCCTATAAGCCCTAGATATACCCGGAACCCTTGGGAGCATTGCTCCGAGTGCTCCAGAGAAACGAGGAAAGGCCTTTTGGGGGAGAGCCTGGGGACGCTGCTGCTCCACAGGCACGGCCTCCGGCCGGTGCTTCAAGCAGCCATCTACCTCGCCAGAAGTCTTCAACAGACTGCAGGAGTACAGTGTGTATATATACACACACATAATCCACAAGGCTCGTTCGGCCCTGTAGGCCTATGGTGTCGACTGCAGACCGAGAGGCCACATCGATGAGGGCTTCTCGGAAGGAGCGGTCGAAGGGAGCCTCAAAGAAACGGAGTGAGCTGGTTCGATAATAGCATAATAGTCGTATTAGTAGTTGTGTCATAGCAATGGTATGATAGCATTATAATAGTCGTATACCGTATAATAGCAGTATCATTGAATCATAGTATTATAATCGCAGAATAGTAGCGGTAATGGCTTTCTCTGGGCCCAGCGCGACAGCGTCGCTGGTCATCCTCTCCTGCAAGCTTGGGGCGATTCTTGGGCTTTGTGATCCCCAAGGGTCCATGTGCCCAAACAGTATATGTCGTGGCCCCAGTCTACCTACCTATATAGGGACTACCTTCCGGCCAAAGTAAGTATATACTATATTTGGTCACATGCACCCTTGGGGGATGAGTCTTGGGTTCAGTCGGAGCTTCCTGAGGATCTTTACGACCCTACGACTCGCCGTTTGCGACCGGCTGAGGTCTGGGCAAGGGGAGGCAGCGCAAGCCTCGCGTTCCGGGTGGGGCGCAAGGTCTGAATACACTGAAAGCTCAGGGCTCAGGCTGCGACGGGTCATGGCCGTAGGTTGGGGACAGTCTAAGCAGGAACAGGCGGGACTGCGAGCCATGAGAGCCAACATCACGCGACAGACGATGACTTCTTCAGACAGCTCCTGCCAGCTGCGCTTACAATGGACCCAAGACAGGCTGTCGCGGGCTTCACGATTTCTGCAGACGCTGCTTTCCTCCGAAAGGGCAATCTGCACGCCAAGGGCTGGATTAGCCTTGAGACGCCGCCCGACTTTGTAGATCGGCCACATCCTGGACTTCAAGATCGGCTTGGGAAACATGGGCAGAGCAGGGAAGCCAGCGCCTGGGCGGCATCGCCCATATAGAAGAAGACGAACTCGTCGCCGTCCTTTTGCCGTCGGCTGCCCCATGCTGTCACAGACGGATCCAAGCCGAGCTCCTTGAAGGGAGTATCTCGTATTCGGACCTGACAACCCGACTCAACGTGCTGTGCATTGCCCAGCCAGAGGGAGGACCATGAGAAGGAGAGATACTGTAAGGCGGCTTTACAGCCTAAACCGGTATAAGGCCTCTGCCTCATCTTCAAGGATCCAGTTGGCGGGGAAATTCCGCAAGCCTTGGCCATGAGTCTTCTCGCTGGGCTTCTCTTTGGCCACGATGATGCTCTCTACCTCTGAGCAGTGGTGTCGATTTCAGCCCTAGGAAGAGCTTAGAACTGCTTCTGCACCTTCAAGCCAGGCATGCGGAGTGCCAGCCACTGTTTGGCTTTCTTCACTGTCTGCGAAGGCTTGAGGCCTCAATCATTTGCAATACGCCACCAATCCGAACATATAGGGGTTGATCCAAGCTCAAGGAATATATACTATAATACAGATCCCAAAAGGGCCCATAAACTAAACCAGCCTCAGCATGCTCGGCTCCTGGCAGATGTCGCACAACTTGCTATCGTCGATCGGTGAGAGGGCATAGAGCACCACTGGCTCCTGACGCTTGCGGCATCAGCGACCATGCCAGAAGTGTCTTCTCTGTCTGGTTCGTAGTACGGAATGGGGAACTTTTGATCCCTACTTGTATGATAGTTTCTGAAGGTCCCTTATAGTAGTCCTTACGACCCATTCCCCCATTCCCTACTAAGAACCAGACAGTTCTCGACAACTCCCCGCTCCGCCTCGTCGCCCGGTCGCACCTCTTCCAAGAGTGGCCCTGCGCCACATGAAGACTACTATATACTATGACTATACTATGATCTACGAACATCTACTCTGTGGGGAAAAAAGGGATAGATACACACACTAGAACATGCGATGATATTCTGCATCATGTACCATAAGGTAGACCGGTATACTACCTGTCTATCTTCAACCTATGTAACTTTATGCAACTACGTTCAAAAATAGATTCCGGATCACATGAGAAACCTGAGAAGGCTTTTTTGCAGTTTCATCTCCGGCCTGGCTGGTTGAAACCCGGGCCTTCCACCTTAGAACCCCGACAAGCATGACAGATCTTCAGACAACTCAGCGACGCTCAGCCGACCAGTAGCCATCCCGGCTTGTCTCCATCCAACCTCGGAGCTGAATATGCCGAAAACAGCCACATTGACATGTGCACACATACATCCGCTGTTGTGCATGTGTCTGGCTGCTCATGTGGATCAAGTTGGGTCACCCACTCATGACCCTGTCTCAGCGTGCACGCGAAGCTAATGCACATACACGTCGCGCACGTATCTGAACATACACCGACATGTATCTATCTATGTCTCTCTGCGTGCTGTGTGTTCAAGCCGCATCTATTGTGTCACCTACATCACTGGTGCGTCGTTCTGCAACAGCTCCAACAACAACCACACACATACACGCATGCACACAGACACACATTCAAAAAGAAAGAAGCGCAGGGGCACGAGGAGGACATCCGGGACCCCTGCTCGAGCCAGAGGCCACCTGCAGGACCCTGCCACGTTTGGCCGGTGCTCTGCACCTCGCACCAGCACCAATATGCAGACATGAGGACAGGCCGCACCAACGAACAAGTACTGGCGACCGTATGTGCTTGCATGCATGTACATGCATACGTACACGCGCACAGAGAGACAGGGAGAGATTGACCTTGGAGAATGATGGCTAGATCCATAAGTCAAAACGTAGCAATTACACATCGTTTGAATCCCTGTATGACTGCTTCGGTACTCTCGTCGTGTTTCCGGCTTGGCCCCGTGCCGCTGCCACGAACAAACAAACTCAGATCGCTTCTAATTACTCACCTAGAATCTCGTCAGTCGAATCCCCCTGCTCCCTTTGGATTCCTTTGCCCAGGATGTCACACACACAGAAACAGACACCTGTATATCATCAACATTCAACATGCGGCGCAGTGCCCGGAACGCTACATCTGTCAGGTTACTGGGGGGAGTGGGGCATGGACTGGGCTTGGATAAGGCCTTCAAAAGATCCAGGGCTGGGCCTAAAGCGAAGGACTGGCCCCCCCAAATATGCGGCGCCCAATGCGCCTTGCTTCCGACTTTCCGATTCAGCTTGATGACCTCAAAGAGGTTCACAGATCCTATCTTTTGCCCCCAAAAAACCCATTCGATTGCCCGGGCCTTGGAAGAGTTCGGGTCTTTGCTCGGCTTCTTGAAGAGCGGCCCCTGCATGCACATCGTGGGTATGTACGTTGACCTCTCCTGCTCTTCTTAGTCTTTCGGGTCGAAACGCACATGATCCGTCGGACTTTTGACCGATTTCCTCTCTCTGAAAACCCATCACCTACTACTACTTCTACTACTACTACTACCCCTAAGCCCTAAACCCAAAACCCAAAACCATCACCTACTTCTCTGACCTACGGGGCTGCAGCCTGCATCACCCGGTACTCCACGGGCACCCGAGCAGCTTCTTCTCCCGCCTTGCAACAGTTCTAATTACTATTAATTCTAATTAGATAATATATAGTACCAATATTCATAATATAGTAGGAATACTATATTCATATCATAGTACTGATATTCATACTATAGTAGGAATACTCATATTCATGTTGCGATTGACAAGACTGAAACCGTTGATACCAGTCTGAGGCCCAGTGCCATCGCAGCGGCAAGAATACGGACTACGTCGACGGCGTACAGTCTCAGGTCATGTAAGTGCCAACGTCGATTCTTGGGCTTTTCGGCTGTTTGCACGAGTCGATTGAAACATCTTCTCAATGTGTGGGTAAGAATCGTGGCCTCGTATTTTGGTTCACTCACTAGGTCGGCACGAGTCGGGGAGTCTCTGCTTAATGAGTTCCTGTGTGGTGCTGCTCGAGTGTGAGTCATTTTGCATCAACAGACAAACCTGCTTGCATTCTGCTTTGAGCAAAATCCGGCTTGAACCGACCGCAAACGGTGCACGCAAAGCCAGGACACCGAACCATCCAAAACAAGTGCAGGAACGCAAAGTTGGATGCTGTCCAGCCGGCAACATGCCCAGGGACAGAACTGTACTCGACTTGGGTGCAATTGGCTTTAGAGCGTTTTGGGAGGCCGTCCCTCTTTCCGAACAGCACTGGGAAATTAGGAAGCCTCGTTGAGGCCCTCAAACTGATACCTCAAACGCCTCAAACTGGAGTATTGTCGAAACCTTATCGAGGCCCTCAAACTCACACCTCAACGGCCTCAAAATAAACTCCGAGTATTGCGGTTTTGCATTTACTTGCGGCCAATTTGTGTCGATGTTGTTGAAGCCTGCTTCACCCGGGTTTCGTAGCGCAGTTCAGTTGCAGTTTCTTACTCCAATTTACTTCAGAGTAGCTGTTAGTGAAAGTTGGCGCAACACCACAAGCCCAGACTCGCACCGCCATTTGGGCTCCAGCTCCATGTCCCTGTTCAGAAGAGCATGGGAAACTTGAACGAGCATCGGCACATTCAGCAGCTGTGGAAGGCAAAAAACGTGACGAAGATCCATTCCAAAGGTGCCCTCGTAGGCACACTCATACAGGGATGGCCGGGTTAGCAAATCCCCATGTTATTCACCTTGTCTGTGTGCTAGCTACAGTAGCTCAAGCTCCCTCCACCAGATGCAAGACCAGTTGCATCACGTTAGCAAATATGGAACCTGCAGTCACGGCAACAACCACTCGTTTGAACATGCGTAGCGGATCTTAGAATTTCCGCGCGATACTTCGAGGCGTGGTTTGCTCCGCTGTGGCACTCAGTGGGAACTTGTTCGTCACGACTATACGCATTACAACTTGCCCGCGTTTCAACAGAATCCGCAAGCAACGAGCAACACAGAGAGGCCGTAACACCAGGAAATGCCGTTGTTCTTGCACAGCCTACGAAAACTTCGATGTGGTGACTGCACCCGTTTGGGGAGATTGTTTATGACGCCATCATGGCACGAGCCAGCAGAATAACACGACGTGATTTGGTCACGCTCAAAATTCCCTCCTGATGAAGTTGCTTGTGTCCGTCGAAGTCAAAGCCATCCTCAATGCGTCTAAAACGCATCCCACCTTGCCCCTTCTCTTGGCTTCTGTTGGGAACCTCAATGTCAAAGTAGCCAATCCATTAAGCCAGGATAGGCCAGGGAGTATTGGAGGAGTATGACTGCTTGTGCTTATTCTGTAGCTTATTTAACATGCAACGCTGACAAAATGACAACTGTCAGAAGGGGCTGCCATGTGAAATCAAACAAGCAAAATGGCGCTTCACGATTCTGCAGCTTGGGCCACGGCCATGAGAGAGGATTCATGAAAACGAGCTGCCCTCACAGGCTTGACAGACATGGCAGGTAACGCTGCAGGGCCGAGTTTCTTGTCACATTTTGTCTCACTTGGTGTTGTCTCATTGGCAAGTGCGCAACCAGTGTAAGCACGTGTAAGCGAGCCTTGTCAAAGATAATGGACTTTTCCACCGGATCACAAGCCACTTGAGAAGAAAAGGTCAGGTCATCTAGAGTTTTCACACTCCTGTCAGGCAGAATGGGCAGAGTTCCACAATAAAATGTACAGGAGACTCAGGAGACCAATGCATGCATTGAATGCGTGAGTTTACCAACTTTTTCCTCCTGTCTCAGCGGCAGTCGCCGGATCCATCCTTCAGGCCCATAGTGCAGCACATCGTCGTCATTCCGCCACCCTGGGATGATGCACAGGTAGCTGCACCCCAGGTAGCCCCCATAGGGCACAAAGGCGAAGCCGTTGGAAGGTTGATGCTGCTGAAACTTGCCACGGTGATGTAAGCGGAGCAACCCTCGCTGGTATCGCAAGCCACGGATCCTCAGCCGGGACTCGAGGACTGACATCAAATTGATCAACTCAGCCGGTTTGGCGGTTTGGCTTTCAAACCGGAAAGCAAAAGAAACCCAAAGAAACCAAACAATCCAAGGATCCGCCCAGGCCAACGCCCAACCAGAAAAGCTTCTTTGCTGCATTGCCACTCTCGGCCACTTACCACAGGATTTGCAGCCCGTAGCCTTTTGACGTCAAGGCACTGGTGGTTAGAGCTCTTTGGAAAACAGACTGGCAAACAGTGAAGCGCAGCCACAAAGCTGCCTCGAGAGCCAGCTGGTTTGGCATGAGTCCCAACCACCAGCGTCTGGCTGCGCCTATAGAAAGAAGCGCAGACGTAAGAAGTGTTGTGTAACAAAACTGGTCACCACAGTTGGACCCGACTGTAGCTGCCCACCTTCAACCAGAACAACGCACAGCCTGTCCTACAGCTGCCGAAAGTGCCACCAAAGCCAGTTTGCTCGGTGTCATTCGTACTGCGTCCGGTAATGGTTGACAGGGCGTCAATGCCTTGTGTCTGTAGGATAAGCCCATCAAAAATGCATGCATAGGAATCTTTCATTCCCGCTGTTGCCGACGAACTCTTCGATGGAGGCGGCCCTTCCCTCTGGAAGGAGCGTCTGCAGGGTTGCTCTCGGACGGAATGTAAATTAACTTCACAAGCAAGTCGCTTGCCAAGCTGTGCGCTGCAACAGCCCGGATGACACCTCGCAGACTTGGTGAGGAGGTCCGGCCTTTGGCTGCCGCTCCAAGCACAGCTTTTGCGTCGACAAGGATGACGACTTTCTTGTGATGCTTTCTGCGGCTGCGGGCCAGCCATTTCAAAGTCAAAAGCAAGCCATGCGCCTCCAAGACACCAGAATGCGCCTTGTAGCCAGCACGTGCACTGACGATGGTCCGGAAAGCTTTCTTTGACACCTTTAGCCTGTGCGGTGTTCCAATTCGAGTCTGCTCAGTCTCCTCACCTGGCTCCTGGCGTAGGCGGACGTAGTCTCCACGGCGTTCTGCCAAGCGGCTGACGGAGAGCAGAGTAGATTCATTGCACGCAGCTGCGGAAACACCAAAGCCAAATTCAGGCGCCGCGTCGCACGCTAGCAGCTCCTCATAAAAGGGCTTGTCCAGTCCCACACTGAGCAGCGGAAGCAAGCCGAAGACCACAGCCAGCTCTTGTTTGACCTTTGCTGGCAACTTCTGTGGCTTGCTTTGGGGAGTGCGCCTTGCAAACTCATACACCTGATCAAAGGTTGCAAACACCGGTCGTTGAAGCAGGCAGAACCATTGCAAAAGACCCAACAACCCATTGAGTGCTGCTGGAGAGGCGACGCCCTTGTCCAAAACGTCTAGTAGGCTGCCCGCACAAGTGAAAAGCTTTGCCACAGCCGGCTCTGCCATGTGTGGCCGGCTGGTGATCTCGCACCCTAGCGCCGTAATCGTTTCGGACAAGGAAATGTCTTTGCTGACTTTCCGCGGGATTGAAGCTGCGGCCATAGCTGCGTCAAACTTGTCAAGAGTGCATTGGCCACGTTCCTTGTCCCTGTGCACAAAAACGGTGTCATCAGTGGCCACCAGGCACAGTTCAGTCTGGTCATCAGGCGGGGGATAGTCCATACTCAGCACCTGCTCTTGTGAAATGCCTGCCGCCGCCACAACAGACAACGTGGTACTCTGAGCTACAGCACATGACCAGCTGAACCCCATGGGCCACACAGCGTGGACAGGGTGAAGCCTGGAGTCGCCTGTCAGCACCGAGCCCGACAGATCATCGACGAGAGAGCTCAGCTCCAGCAATGTCCACTTGCCGGCGCTGCAGAGCTCCTGGCCAAACCAAGTTTGCAACTCCAAAGGCACTCGAAGCACATCAAAAAAGGTCTCAGCATCACGCTTTGAGTAGAACAGTGCTTCTGTTGGTTGGGCATGCATGTCCAGGAAAACGGAAGGGGACGCCAACCGCTCTGGCTTTGGCGGTCTCAGAGCCAGCTGGGACAAGCGCGACCCGTTCCAGATCTTTCGCTGCCGGCCTTCCGCTTTCTGCGCAGCGAAAACAGGAGCAATGCCTCGGACATGTCGTCGCAACCTAAGCTTGCCACACTGCAGCTCACGCACCACCAAAGCAATATACTCCCTTCGGTCTGTCGCTTGCTCGCTGCCCATGTCCGAAGGAAAGCCATCTGCCTGGTCCGGGAAGATCGTAGCAGGATGTGAAACAGCCTCGCGCAAGCCAGAAGGAAGATGCACCAGAGGGTCGCACGTGGCGGCCTTTTGTGGCAGATCCACAGCGTCCCCTCGCAGCTCTTCATACCGCGGTTGCTGGGCTTGTTCAAAGCGATTGAACATGCCGCACCAAGGGAAGCCTTGGTCCTGGTGCTGCGACAACCGTGACAGCAGTCGCGCAGTCCTATTCACCACATGGTTGTGCACCTCTTGCTGTGGGGCTGTCGGGCGGTTGCGGGGCGGTACCACTCGAGCAACTTTGAAGTCGCACCACATGGTGTTGAGGCTCAGGATGCAAGCATTAGCAACGCTCAAGGCTGCTTCCACGCAGGTCCCAGGCACCCGGACGTCTTCAGGCCAGGAACCCAGCAAAGGCATCGGATACAAGTCGCGATGTCTGCCGCGAACATTGCCAGCAGTGGAGCAAGCACTGGAGCAAGCCGTGTATATATCATTCAGCACTCCTTCTCTGCCCACGAGAATCGATTTAATCGCGGAGGCTAAGACTGTTCCCATCGGCTTGTAAGCAGAGCTGCGCTGGGCATCTCGGCGCTGCTTGGCAGGTGACGGCCTGTTGCCCCTCCTGTGTGAGCGTGCGGTCTTTGTCCGGAAGTTGCAAAAGAAGTCACTTAAGCCAGGCGGGGGGCTCACCATGAGGCTTGGACCCCGTTGCTGAAGTGTCCACGACTGCAGTGCATGATTGGGCGCGGTAGCCATTCGCCCGGCCATTGCAACTGCAGTTGACTAAAAACCCCCATCCAGCGCTGGAAGCATGAGGGCAGAGCCGAAAATCTCAAGATCCACCATGCCTTTAGCAGGGTTTCAGCTGCGCATGCCCTCGGCCTGCCTTGTGGATATGGTTCAGAGACATGTCCCCAGTTGGCACATTTCATCAGCAATAGCCCTTCATGGTCGCACCCACTGCGAAGCCAAAGTCCAAGGAGATGAAAGCACGTGGAGCTCGTTTGGAGATGAGGTCCTCAAGTGCCCCCATGGAGCCCGTGGAGAGTCCAAGAGACATGGACACCGTTCCGGGCACGATCTCGTAGTCATAGCCAGTGCTTGCGAACTCTACCCAGAAGCCCAAGCATGTCGTAAGGCTCTCCATGAAGTCAACGACATCCTCAACCATCTTCGCCTTGGCAACTTGGCAATCAAATCACCATAAATCCATGCCATGGATATCCATGAAGCCATGAATCATGCAGGTTTGAAACAATGGTTCACTTAGTTCACTTTCTCTCTCTGGTCCTCCTATCTCTAGCTAGCACAATCAAGGCGTCTTCAGGCCCAAGTTGCAATGACTTTGAAAATTCTTCTGCGACGTCTACTGCGTCTCCTTCCACCGATCCACCTCCGGCGGTTTCGCCTCCGTCGTCGTCTCCTTCTGCCACCCTCCACAGAGTCCCTGTCCGACGTGTCCTCAGATTCCTCAGTCTCGTCTAAGTCCACCAGGGCTGCGCTTTGCATCTGCTTGCCGGAGCTCACCGTGGTTACTGCACCCACTTCGGCCCCTTCCTCCTCTTTCTCCTCCTCCTGATCCTCTTCCTCCTCCTTTTCCTCTTCTTCTTCCTTTTCCTCGTCCTCTTCCTCTTCTTCTTCCTCATCATCTTCTTGTTGCTCCTCCTCTTGTTGCTCTTCTTCTTCCAACAGGGAGACTGGGACAGGGTGCCTTTTCTGCTGGAACTTGTGGAACTCCACCTGGTCAAAAAGCCGTATGGCCCTGTTCTCGTCCTGCATGGCAATGTCCTTGGTAAAAGGTATGATATGCCTCACCATGGATTCCCTTCCCTGACCCAGCAAACTGACGCGTGCAGCTCTGGAAGAAGCCTGGATGAAGGAGGCGTCAACGAATCGCCTGCCAGGAGGTAGGTGAGTTCCGTTGTAAATCCTGGAGTAGTATTGATAGTTCTGGGACACAAACTCTCCGATTCTGATCTCCAGCTTCACGCGATGTTGAATCTCCGCGCGCATGGCTCGTCGTGCCGCATAGCCTGACTTCAGCTGAAGCAAGGAGGCGGACTGGCGATAGGAGGCATAGTTCAAGTCAAAAAAGTTGCTGTGGTCACAGTCCAGGCGTTTACAAATCGGCACCCACAGCTGATGGAGTTTATAATGGTGGCATCAACAGAGCTGCCCACTTCGTGTGACTCCAAGATCTGGAAACTGGATTTAGACGCTTGTACCATTTGATGCGACATGGCAAGAGTCGCGGCATCCGACTCATGCACTTGCAACAGTGCAGGGGCCACCTTCCTGTGCTTCAGCATGTCACACTGATACTTCTCCGGAGCTGTCGCATCCATGTTCAAGACATGATTTGACTCTTCCAGGAGCAGTCCTTTTTTCAACGACTCCCAGCCGATGTCAATGAAACGCTGTGTCATCTCCATGTAGGTGGTGAAGGCGGCCAGTTCGACTTGCTCTGGCACATGATATTCCAAAAGGCATGTGGCGATCAAGAGGCACTCCTTGATATGACTCTGCTTTCCCAAAGGACACAGAAATGGCCCACTGCCGTCTGGCAACCTGTCAATCGAATGGAGAGCCACAAATTAAATCAACCAAGTTAAACATAACACGAAATTCGTGACTTCCGACCAGTTGTTCCAAGCAACATCTCGTGCAAAACCTGGTAGAAGCCACTCACCTTGTCAGACAACATGGCCAGGTCAGAAGCGATGTCCCCGAAATGATGAGTGATGTTCGGGTTGGGTGGAGTTCCCTGGTCGTTGATGAGGCCGCTGTAATTCGTGAGATTTTGAAGCACCAGGGGAAGTGCTGCAGTCAACTCTTTGTACAACGGGAGTGGTCCAGTCGCATTGAGTTCCATCTCATCACTGCTGTTCACATGGACATGGTGCTCTGAAAATTTGAAAGCGCCACATTCGATGCTTCCCAGCAAGAGTAGAAACTTCGCCAGGCATGCCGGCGACACGATACCGGCGAAGCGTGTTTGCTTCACGATACCGGCGAAGCGTGTTTGCTTCATTGTCGTGAAAAGCGGAGATTTGCGCAGCTACCGGTGCGAAGACGGTGCACCGGCAACGCCTCTCCGGAAACTTGCCAGCAGGTCAAGCCGCCAAGCACAAACTGCTTGAACACAATGGCTGCGTTCAACCAGAGCTTGCGTACATCAAAATAAGTACACATCTTCTTGATAAGGCTAGGACGCTAAGATCAACGTCGTCTTCTCGCAAGCTTCACTTTTGCTATGGCGTCCGCGCGAAGGTTTCTTAGTTCTGGCTAGGCCACTGTCGTGACGAGCTGCAGCTACAACATGTCGGGCTCAACTCCACAGCCTGAGGGTCGTGGCCTTGGATGCAGAGCCATGTGTGAGGCTGGTCAACCAGCTTCCTCTGTCCATGGCAGAAATCCATCCGCCTTCCTTATCAACGTCAACTGCGCTATGCCCAGCAGGTTCTCGACGCATGCTGCGATACCCAGGTCTTCCCGCTGATGCAAGACCAGCTTGCCCGTCGCAATGAAAAATATGGATCCGCAGACAAGGCCTCCATCCGAGATTTGGAAGAACCTAGCCGCAGCAGCCGCGCTCCAAATAGATCCTTCTTGATTGGCATCTCCACAACTTCTTGGCGGAGATCGGATCGCTTGCGTGGCGGCAGTGGGCGCCGATCGAGCCAGGCCTTGGCCTCTTCTGCCCTGGGCCGCTCTTTGAAGGCTCGGAAGGCTCGATGCTCCAAGCATCCTCAGGAAGTTGTTGCGTTGGATTCAAAGTTCTTTTCGTAATACACTCGCACAGGTAGAATCCGCTGCTGCACTCGGCAAAGAAAATGCATTGCCGAATCGACTTCAAATGACTTCAAGTTTCAAGACAGACGCAGCATCGCAGCCCGAGAACAAAACACAAGCTGAAATGCTGGCCGTAGCGCTTGAACAACAAACCCGCGATATGAAGCCTCGGTGGTCCCTAACAAAGCGAAGCTTCCGAAGGTGGATTTACATGAGCATCCCTCGAGAACCTGCCTTCCATTCCCTCGCCAACAGTTCATGCCTGATCGCACCGATGCTGTTGGAATCCCCTCACTTCTACTCCCCACAAAAAGGCTTCGTAGGGCCACTGCCCCGTTTTCCTTCCTGCTACCGTTTGGGCTCCCCCTTTCTGCTGCCAGATAGCTGCAGCTCCTAATTCGTAGGTTCGATTCACTTAACAGTCTTCGTGTGCAACGGTTTGTCCAACGGCCCAATTTCGGCCCAATACGCAAAAGCGCTCGTGCGCAGTCCTGCCCAGCTGAAATGTTTCTGCGCGCCCGACCGGCTCGTTACGCCAAAGGTGTGGAAAGACGCAGTGAACCCGTGCCCATTTGCCAAGCTCTGGGCATGTTGTATTGTTTGCTTAGTCTCGGGGGCAGCAAACATCAGCAAGTGGGCCTGGAGTATCTGTATGTACAAAATACAACATGTTCTTTGGCACGGATTTGCGTTCGGTGACGTGGTCGCCCTCGGATTCCAAGCCATCGATGCAGCCCGAGATTCAAAGATCAGGATTCCAGCCGCCCAAGCATCAGCTGGCCTAGCTTTGTCCGGGCTTCTGCTCAAGAGGGTGCGAACGTCACAAGCTGACCATTGGGCTTTCAATCATTTACGCTTTACCATGTTGCAGATCTAATCGCATCGGTCGACTAACTCTTTTGTTGAAAGAGTTGAAGTTGCGCGCCGCATATCGCCCCAAGTACGACTATGCAAGTACTACTGCAGCACTCATCAAATGCTCTCCTTATATGAGCCTCTTGTCATTCCCACATATTGTGCTACACTCTCTTTGGTAGATGTACAGATGTACTGTAATGCAATCTGCTGCACGGTCCCAAAGCATGTGCAAATTCGGTCACGTCTTCTTCAGCCAAATACAATCATGTAGGGCAACCCTGATGGCTACTGTATGGAAACAAAAATGGCACTCTCAAAGTACAGAGTCAGACTCTTGCAAAAGGATTGGCTGATCAATCGAATGCTGGCCTCCAAAGTTAAGGCCACGAGCCCGGCGAAGCGGCCCTTGACGCCAATGCCGATGCCATTTCGGGAATCTTCGATTTCGTTTCGGATTGCAGCCTCGAGGTCAGCACAAAGCAGCCAGATGGTGCCAAACACGCACTATGCATCCCCTGCCTACCAGCACGATGCTGCTTTTGTTGCTGTTGTTGATGATGGCGACGATGGCGATGATGGTGCTTGTGCTTTAGACTCCTCATTATAGCACCCTTCGACACGGCCCTTCTCTCCGACCACCTCCAAGGATGTTATGCCGCAACATCACGCTGCCCCCCAAAGGCAGCCTCATGGCTGCCACAACCATAGCTGCCTTTTCCTCCCTTCTTTGCGCTTGCGTCCTGACAGGAGGAAATCGGATGCTCTGGAGAAGCGAAGGTGTCTATGACCAGGCAGCTGCGATGTCTCCTGGTATGTCGTGCCGTCGTTTCGGCCATCACGTCACCTTTCCAAGTCCGTCTCTGAAGCCGGACTCCTGCAGCTCAAGCATCACCTGCAGGGTTATGGCTGCAGGAAAGGTGTGCTGATGGCAGGGGTGGTCCGGTAGCATCCTCGGGTAGCTTGGGGCTCGCGGGCGGCTCCTGCGGCCGAGAGCGGGCCTGCACCATCGAGAGCGCCAGCAAGCCCGTGCACATCAGCAGAGGAAGTGCCTGAGAAAGGCGAGGTGCGCAGCGTGCAAGAAAGACCGTCCTTCCTTTCGAGCCAAAGCATTTTCCAAGGTGCCGTGGACGGGGCATCGCCAAAGGCAAGATGCACAATCCCAAGAGTTCCGGTGATGCCCAAGGCATAGCCCACCAGATTCACGAAGAAGAGCACGTAGATGTAGAGTGCTCCTGGGAAGCGGGAGGCGAGACATGACCCGTCGACCAACCCGAAGCATGTTCTCCTCCAGCTGCTTTGAGCCACCTGAGACACGTTCTTGAAACTCAAAGGCTTCAAGAAAGCTCATGGGCAACTCTCCTGCCTCGAGGTCTCTGCTGGCAAGGCAGCTGCCTGGTAGCAACATTCATCGACGAATCTCACTGTGTCGACCCGGTCCCCAGACGCGTCCTTGCTTCGCCAGGCCATGGAAGCGAAGTGTTCAAGGACCTCAACTTGCTCGAGGCTCGAAGGCTGTCGGAGGCTGCGTCGTTGGCCGTGGCTTCTTGTCGCTAACAAGGCTCCATGAAGGCCGCATTGAGGAAGCCCCAGGCGAAGAGCTTCATTTCCAGATCATGCCACAGCGCAACGAAGCCAAAGACAACCCAGACATTGGCCCAAAGCCACCTGTCTTTCAGCGCTTGAGAAGACACGCGTCGGAATGCCGGGGGGGAAGCCTGCGACCGCCCAGCGGAATGTACAAGTAGCGAACGAGCCAGAGGTTGAAGCTGGAATGCCTCGCAAAGCGGCGAACAAAATCCAGAAAACTTGTTTCGAAGCCCAGAACGGCAGCTGAGTTCTCGCACCATCCACGCCAAAAGCCCGACAGGGAGTAGTTGTTGCCTTCAGTTCAATTATTGTATGTCCGCTACGAGCACTTTCTTGGAAACTTCAAGTTGCTCGTCCGAGAGTCCGAAAACATGACTTTCTTTGCTGTCTTCTCTCTGTCTCGCTCTCTCGCTCTCTCTTTGGGGGGTAGGTCGTCGAGTCCATGACTTTCTTCTTCTCCAGGGCATCTCTGGGGGATGTGCAAGATTTTCCGGCCGCTATGCCCCCACCCCTGATGCTTCGGGGCTTTCGAGGGATATGAGAACTCTTCCGAATCTGACCCTTCTTCGTCAGGGCTTGGGGGGATGTCAAGTCGCCCGGCCACTAGGGGTTCAGTTGAACCTCCAAGAATACCGAGTTTGCCCTCTACCTCAAGCTCCTGGTTGCAGGCAGTGCATGGTGAGACGACGAGGAACATGGCACGTTGACATTGCCCCGTGCGATGGAGCAAGAGCACTTTAAATAACGAATCATCAACGAGTAGTGAAAAAAAGCCCTTACAATCTTTGTCGTTGCTTCATCTGGGGATGTCATTGCATAACTGGGGGTGCGGCGGTTTGCGACCAGGAAATATGAATGCTTCTTGGGGAGAAAACTCCCCCTCCCCTGCCACACTCGGCTGCAGTTTTACATTCCTACTCGTACGTTATAGGAGAGACATGGTGCTTCTGAAAGAGGCATGATTTTCTTGTGAGGGCACTTAGAGGCCTAACGGCTTGACAGGCCACGACCTACGAGTATCATCCCTGAAAGACAATGGCTCAGCAACATACACTCCGCTATCACGTTATGGCTCTTCTTCTTCGTCAGGGCGTGGGGGAGGTGCGAAGTCCCCCGGCCACTTGGGCCCCCACTGTTCTGGGGATTTGCAAAAGTTATGACGCTTTGCCTTGCTGTCGCCCTCTCTCTCTCTCTCTCTCTGTCTGTCTTTTGCTTCTGGGCGCAGGGGTCGTCTCTTGACCCTCAGGCCTTCGGCCCACACGTCCACCCTCTGTGCTTTTAAGTCTCTCTTTCTTTTGCCAGGGCTATGGTGCAGGGGTTTGACCCCCTAAGTCTCTCTCTCTCTCTCTCTCCAGCCACGGCTCAGACACATCTCCGCATATTCTCCGGGACGTCGATGCCGTCACAAAGGGCCCAAAGACGTGCAAAGCGCCAAATGCACAGAAACCTGCAGAAACGAGGCGAGGGAGCGTCGCGGCGTCGCGGGGCTTCGCGGCTTGCCACCACCAAACAAAAGCCGAGGCCCAGACTTCAACCACATGACCTCTCTTGCAAAAAGGCATCGCAAGTGGGGAGTATGGGAAGGAAATCACTGAATCACTTCGCTTCTTTCTCTCTCTTCTTCTTCCACAGGGCAGAAAAGGTGTGCGAACCCCCCTGGCCACAAGGGTTCCCCACTTTTTGGCGTTGAATTGAAGGGGCGTGAGAAGCTTTAACCCGTTCGTCCCCCCCGGTACCTAAGCTAGCTTGATGCTTCTCTGTCTCTGTCTCTCAAAGGCTTGACTCTTCTTTGAGCCCCTGACAATCAGCAGCAGCATGGCATAGGCCCTCAGACAGGCGCGGCACGTCTGAAAAGGCAAAGGCATGCCGCCTTCGCAGTGTGACCAGAGCGTGGCAGGGCGCACAAGGAGATCAGCACGCCCATGCAGCTGCAGGTAGCTGGAGGAGCGGCCGATGGCCCAAACAGGGGTGCAGCACAACCTGACCAAAAAAATCAGTCCGCCACCAGCTTCAATGCCCAGAAGGGCGAGACGCGCAGCGCCTAAATTTGTATAACATCTTAGGGGAGCAGTGCTATCTTTTCTGCCTAGCCGCAGTGCTTCCAGCAGGCCGAGGCAAAGCGCGAGTCGAAGAGCATACAACAGCCTCGCCGTACGCTTGCAGCTGACATCACGTCTCTTCAACCCGTCGTGGAACACCATGGCAAGCAGCAGCTGCCAGGCACTCATCGCCCGTTGCGGCCTGCCAATCGGATGGAAGGGAATGCGTGTGTGTGCGTGTGTGTGTGTGTGTGTGTGTGTGTGTGTGAGTTGGTTGTGTTTGCTGCGCAGTCATGTGGCCGGCATGTGGCCTGTCGTGAAGATGCGACATGAAGGAATTGAAGGTGGTCGTTGGCCCAGCCAGCCAAAGGGGTGAATAGAGGAAGTACGTCATCAGGTTGAAGATGCTGTACTCGTGCAAGGGCCGAGACTTCTCCCTGCAACAAAGCAGTATCAGTATGCTCAGATGATGGACTAAAAAGCTGAAGCAAAAAACAACAAAAGCCCAACAAGGCAAGGGCCTCTTCTGCAGCTCTGAGAGCACGTCGCCCTGGCACTGGGCCTCGGGATCCTGGGTTGGCTCCGGCTCCTGGCGGTCCCGCAGCACGCTCAAACAAACAACCAAACCAAGCCACCACTTTCCTCTGCCCCCCCCCNNCCCCCCCTGCCCCCCCCCCCCCCTGCTGCCGGTCTCCTGCAGGGCCCAGAAGTAATCCTTGAAAGTTCCAAGACGCTGCTTTTTCCCGTGACAGAGCTGGCAACACCATGCCTTTACGGTGCTTCTCGACATGGAGTTGCAGAGATACAGATGCCGCACCCTCAGCCTCACCCGATTCTACCATGTCCTTATATCTGGAAGATTCCGATTCCCTGCAAAGGGCATGCATGGATGGTGCACTAGCTGCCAATAGTCGCGACACGGACACCATCCTCGGCCCATATGTTGGATTCCTACTCCCCTTAATACTTCTTCTTATTCCCCTGCACCGCTGCAATCATCAATTCAAGACTCACAGATCACCGTTCACCAGCACAAAGCATTTAGCGTGTCCTTCTCAGGGTGTTCAAGCCCGACAAACAAGACCGAGTGAGCAACGAGGTGAGAACTACGGCAATTTTGTCAGAGCATCAGCAGCAAGAAGAACAATAACACTATCAAGAACAAGGACAAGCACTAGGACAACAACAAGACAACCACAACAACAACAACAACAACAACAACAACACCACCAACAGCCAGCAGCAACACCAACCGCACCGCAACAGCAACAGGAACACCAATAATTACGGCAGCATGGCTGCGCCAATAGAAAGAGAAAGAGAGAGCACACAAAAGGTTCGGGCAGAATCGAAGATCGCGCGCGAAAGGCGGCTGCTCAACCTGTGCTTTCCATGTCCAGACTGTTTGCCGGGGCGCCAGGTTGAAAGAGATGAGCTTGAGGCTGAGGAAGTGCAGGGACCTGACTCGCAGAACATGTTCACATGTGCGCGGAGCGCTTCAGGTTGAGCCTAGTGCCCAGGATCGCCCCTCGCGACAAAGACCACTCAGGGCCCCACTGATGCCAGTCCTTGTGTCGTGAAGGCACCCAAGCGCATCGCGAAAAAACCGTCCCGGGAGGCTGGCGTAGGCGGTCGGAAGGCCACGCAGCCACGGATCCAAGACAGGAACTGGCACCTCTGGGACTCGAAATCCTCCTCTAAATTGCTCTTCACACTGCCGCATTCGTCCATCGACTCTATAGCTAACCGGCGAGACTGTGAAGCGCCGAGTGCATCTGCAGCAAACGGACATGTCGACTGTATACTGGGCAAACTGCCGTCGTCGAGAATCGCTCTCAGATGTGGATTTTCGTACAGGACGTGTGAAAGATCGATCTGTGTCAGTTAGCCAGATACCAGACAATCTGCACCAACTTTAGAAGCCGGTGTGTGCTTTTTGGTGAGCTCTTCATCTCGTCTCTATTCGACGCTAGTTTTTCTTCAGGCGCCTCCAAGGCCTTGATCCCCAGCAGAAGAAGTCCGAAAGCCCAGGCAGCGACCGGCGCGCAGCTCGAGGCGCCTGGACATGCCCAAAGAAAACCCCAATTCATTCTTCATGGGTGCCAGGTCGAGTGTGGGGCGTCGTGGGGTTGCAGGATGCCTCTTGCCAGGGTCTCTGTTTTCTGCGAGTCGTTTCGATTGGAATGAGGAACTCCGCGCCAAGGAATGATCGCCAGCATATTGCGGCATGCAGTATACTCAGTGTGACTCAGCACTGCGAGAAAACCGGCGCTGAAAATCCACAAGGCCTGCAAAAGGAGGTCTGACAGATGCTGCAAGGAAGCTCTTGGCACAGTGCTATGCAGTCTCGTCGTGAAGAAACGACTACTTTTACCGTGACCCGTAATATCTCATGATCATATGACTAAGGTGCCAGAGCTGTGCCTTGCATTACAAATGTGCAGCTGCCTTTCCCACCACCCAATCGCAAACCGCTTCAGTGTGGCTGTACAGTTCTTGGTTGCAGTCACTGCGCCTGTGCTAGCGGAGCAATGCAGCAGACAGTGACGACTGGCCGACGGTGGCGAAAATTAGGGCTCTTGTTGCAAGCACGGACATCTGTTCAGATGAGCCCGGCACACAGAAAGGGACGCGAACGTCACCATGCAGGAACAAGGAAACATGTGCTTACTCACACTCGACAGTTAGATTCTGAGTTCGCATCATGCACCTGAAGCATATCGAATTACACGAAGCTACGTCGGAACCAGATTGATTGCGGGCACTCAGCGAAGCTACGTTCCTCAATTGAGGATCGACCGCACAGAAACGGCAGTCTGCACCCTTTTCCTTCAACTCCCCTGAATAGCACCGTCTCTATCTGTAGAGACTATATACACTATACAGTTAGACTATTCAAGTTCTTGTCAGCCGACCTTGATTCGGTCGCTTGTTGGGGGGCCGAAGGTGCAAGCTTGGGCAAGCAGGGGGGAACTGAGAGCAACCTGAACGCAAGGCTTCCGACTCCTGTTTGTGTTTATCAGGCTCTCACTTCCAAGCCCAGTGCATCGGAAGCAACACTGTGCAGCAGGACAGGGTTTCACCGTTAGGGCCCCAGCCACAGGCGCTGCTGGGCTTCTGGCATCTTGCCATCGGCTTGCCACTTGCAGGCCAGTACCCTTCAAACAGAAAGTGCGGAACTACTCTGCGGAAGCACTTTGGGAGATGAAAGGCTGCTGACAGTTGGAGTTCTGCATCGTGTTTGCAGACATGGGCACTAGCATCATGTAGGGTGCAGTTCCGCACTGGCTTACTGAGAACATGGGAATCATTGGCTGAGCCTCCATCACTGGCATCTGCCCCTGCTGTATGTCGTACTCGTATGGATGACTCTCGTAAGGGTCCGGCGTCCCTGGCGTGTCGTCGCTCTTGAAGCCGAATCCTGTCATGCTCTGAACTTGGACCGGTGCCGGCGCCAGGACGCTCAGCTGCCAGATCTCTGATCCACAGACGCCTCATGAGGATCCCGGACCCGTACTCCCCCCTGCCCGAAAGGCTTCTCCTACGTTACCCGAACCACAAGCTGTAAACGCAAGAAAAAAAACAAAAGAGCAAAAAGAAGAGACAAAAAAAGCGAGAGAGAGAGAGAGAGAGTCAGAGTGTGTGTCTCTCATTGTGTATATTATGTTTTCCTGTCTGGAGACCGCAGAAGCGGCCGCAGCCGCAGGTCGGGCAACGGACTCCCCGCCTGCAGCTGAAGAGCAGATGAAGAAAAGCTGAGCGCCACCCCCTATGCAACCCTATATCGGGTCCTAGCATGGTCCTACGGTTGGTGATATAAACCCTGCATTACCTTAAGAACCCTAAACTATGTGGGAATCACGGCGTATATTCCTTATTCTAAGTTATATTTAGATTTGGATTTAGATCATCACCCGTGGCATGGTCCATCATGGTCCCATAAACATCACTACCGTTGGCTCCAAACTCGAAAAAGGAGGTCAGCCTGGAGCCCATGAACTGCTCCACGTGGCTGCCGAGGCTCAGGCCATGGAGCTCAGACTGGGAGGCTCCCGGTCCCGTTTGAGACTTCGAGGCTTTGGCCTCGGCCGTATTCTGGGCCCCAGTGGTCTGTGGCGCTCTTTCTGGCGGCATCTGGGTCAAGACCACCCCAATACGCTCCGACTCGCTATTGATAGCGCGGCGGCTTTTGAGGCGATCCTCCAAACCCAAGAGGCCCGGCTCCAGAAGTTCCTTCAGCTCATGGCTTGCAGCCTTTACAGCGGCCTTGAGTCCGAAAGCCCTCAAGCCTTGGCTCTTCTCAATGCACAAAGTTACATTGTGGTCCATTGCTAGAGGCTCCAGGGAAGCTTGCAGCGTCTCCAGATCTGTCTCTGTGTCCAGGGATTCCAAGACCACGTCTTCGCAGCATCCCTCTTCGAGTTCCTTCAAAAGGCTCTCCGCGAGCGCCACGGAGTCTACAGGCCCAAAAAGCCGCACTTCCCGTTGCTGCCGCTCGATGTGGACTCTGCATCCACTCTCCGCCTGGATCCGTGCCAAGGCTGCGTCGTCTCGCTGTACCGTGCGAGTCCTCGCTGCAAAGAAACTTTCCCTGGTCCCTCCCCTCCCTCTGCAGCGCATGCACTGCTTGGCAGGTCCTCATCAGCTCTGCCCACACAGGCGCCCCGACATCCCGTCGAGGGCCACCCAGGCTTGCTAAGTGTCGCTTGACCACGGAGATGCACGACCTCGGGAGATCGGTGTCGAATCTGCTTAGCCCTTATTACTGGACCTTCCCGGCTCTGCCCGCTCTTTAAGACTTCTCTGAGCATCCGGCTCTGTGCCGGTCACGGAAAGGCAGCCACGGGCACGATCAAGTCGTACGATGGTCTGAGTCGCCTCCTGAAGTTCCCTTAAACGCCTTCGACCTCGCCGGCAGAAGCTGCCAAGAAGGTCCTCATCGAGTGGAATCTCTTCTGTGGTGACAGCGGTGTCTGCGTAGCCCCGATAGCCCATCCCTCTTTGAATCGACCGTGATGGCCGCGACGGTCCCTGCATCCAGAGCTTGAGGCTCTGTACACAGCCTCTACAAGGAGTCTCCACTCTTGACAATTCGCTTCTACAAGTCTTGGCTACCTGGCCAAACTTTTCGAGCAGAAGCCACGGATTTCTGGTTGGGACATACATTTTTAGACGTCCCTCTTGTGTGCAAGCACCGACCAGCCACTGACCACACAAGACAAGAATGCCAGGCACCGCAGGCTTTGGCGATGCCGAAGGATCCGCAGGCAAGAGTTGCAAGCACCAGCGTGTGACCACCATGCCTCAGTGATCTGGAGTCAGAGACCTTACAAAACCATGTGTGCTCTTTACAGGCAAGACACACGTACAGCACAAAGAAGCAGGAGAGCATCAAGCAAGGCCATACCCTGGGGCAGGAGCTGGTCAAGGACACAGACTTGACTGGAAACAGCTCTTTGCCGCCTCCTTCTGCCGAGGGTAGCTCGAACAGCCACGTGCAGTCCGGCGGCCAAGGTCAACAACGGCAGAGACTGCAAAGCGAGCCAATTGCAAGAGCCGAGGACTTCAACTTCTTATGCGCCCTTTGCCTTGCGGAACTCACGCCTGCAAGCAGGCAGGCTGCAGAGTACTATCTGGTGGAGCTCCAACAGCAAGTAAGACTCCTGCCACTGAATGTCTGAGAGGTCAATCTGCTGCCTTCAGATCCAGTATGGCGGAGTGTACCCGAATGAATCCCTGAACAGACACAAACGAGGCGAACAAAACTTCCGGCAGAGCTGCTGCGGCCAAAGCCGAGTCTTGTGAAGGAAGAAGCTGCACCTGGCGGCGGGGTCCCCGCCAGACTGAGACTGAAGCAAAAAAAAGGCGAGGACCCCTTATGTTATTGAACCCGCCTCGTGTCCTCCGCACAGATGGCAGCCAACTCCGATGCTGCGAAAGGCAGCTTCACCAAGAAGGCCCAGGCGATGACCAGGTACCACCTTAAGTAGGGAAGTTTGAAGAAAAGTGAGTGTTCTCAAGGCAGTGGTTGGGACCTATATATATATATATATTAATATGGACTCAGCTTCAGCTTCAGCTTACAGCTCGGGCGCACTGCGAATTCCACTGACAGCCAGCGCGCCATTTGGCCAGCCGGGAAGAGCACTAAACCCCATGGGCAACTCCCAACTACAGGGCCAAAGACGGGAGGCGACTCCCCGTTAAGGCGACCGAGAGCAAGGGTTCACAGCGCCGGATGGCTCAGGGCTCAGGAAGCCGATTTCTGGCACGACTTTTTTTCATTTTCAAACGATGATCCGATGTAGCCCATCGAAGTCCTGCGCACATTTCGGCAGGTCTAAACCGGTCTAAACTTCAAAACTAGTCCTAGCATGTCCTACTCTAACTACATGCCAGCTGGCCAGCCAGGCGGCGAAATAAGGCCTGCCTGGGACCTGCGGCAGAAAATGCTTGAGGCCCCAATTAAAATCTGCGAATGGGACGGCTGCAACAGCAGCATTGTTAGCGTGACACCTGCAGGATTTCAGTCAAGAGGTCAGCGTTGCTTCAGAGACTGCACTCAGTGCATCCTACATCTGAGACGCCGCGACGAGGCCTTACTCTGTCTGCGAGACCGTCGCTTGCTGTCCGCGGCAAGAAAGGCATACGTCTGCAGACACGACAGTTTGCGGCACGCCGATCCAAGTGCTGAGAGGCAGCACCAAGTGCCGCACCTCGTTCAGCATCTCCTGCACTTAGACTGCAACTTAAGGGCAGAGAAGTAGCGGAGATAGCGGAGAGCTTCGTGCCTCCAGGTCCTTCTGATGTTTCTTGGAGGCTTTCAACTTTGCCTCGAGCTCATCGACTTGGCTCACCGTCTCTGCCTGAAGGTTCGCCTGGCGAGGAAGCGGGGCGATGCGAAGCGACTCGGCCTCTGAACGCTAGTCCTGCGCATCCCGAAAGCTCTGGATGTCAAGATCCAGGTATGCCTGCCACACTGCAGTCACGCTCACAAGACTCACCAGAGGCTGCAAGAAGTTTTGGCCTTCTGGTCCTCAGCGGGAACTGGGATTATACGACACTTGTTGAAGCATCAAGCTCATGAACGAACAAGCAGCGGTCCTCCACGAGCTGCATGTCTTTTTGTACCTTTTCCACGCTCACCTGACTTCGAGCTAAAGTCAGCTAGATCGTCACGTTTGGGGCTGTCCTCGAGTTCTTCCGCACGGCGCTCCAAAGCTTTGATCTCTTTCTGGCAGTCCTGGTCCTTCGTTGCGAAAGTCTTGATTTCTTGGCTTCAAGATCAGACTTGGCAAGGCCTTGTGACCGAGATCCTGCAGAGACTTCTCCTCAAGCTCTTGCCTTGAACATTGGGGTTTTCTGCAAGGATACCAGCAGGCGGCACGATAAGCTGGGCCGGGCACTCCGTCCTCAGAGCTTACGGAGGAGCGGTGACATGCACGCATGGTGTGGTATGGTGACTCTGTCGCTTCGCACCTCAAGGCTGCGATGGTGGCCTGCAGCTCGGCCTGAAGGTGGGCGACATGGGGCTGGCTGCGGCTATGCGCCGAAGCCTTCGTTGCGTGCGCCTCGCGCTCCTGCCAGGCGCGGCGCTCCTGGTCTGCTGCGGTGGCGTCGGCGGCACGCTCTGCCTCCGAAAACTTCGGCAGTTGACGATGGCCAAGCAGAAGCTCAGCGAAGCTCAGCGACGCCCTACCTCCAATCGCAGCTTTTCCTCGAAGCTTTGCGGCCAAAACGCTCAATCCGCGAGGTGTGAAGTCGCTCTCTTTGAGGGTATACACTCTGCTACCAGTACTTGTAGCAAGAGAGCACAGGCCGCGTCTCCTCCTTGCGGACATCGGCCTGGTTAGCCATGTGGAAAGCGAAGCGGCAAAAACTAACTGCAGGCTTTTGTGGGCTCAGGTGGCCTCAACCCGGAAGCGATCCATCTCTCGCTCCAGCTGGGAGAGGCGCTGCCCCTGCTCCTCGGCCTGCACTCTCTGTCCATAAATCCCATCCTCTCTCTGTCTCGCTCGCTCCTCTCTCTCTGACACTGCTAATGTGCAACTGCTTGTTTATAGGCTTCCTGTTACTTGCACGGCCTGCTGCTTGAGCTGCAGCTTCTCTGCTTCCAAGTCCGAGCGTTGCTTCGCAATGTCGGACTGGAGCTCCTGTGCCAGCTTGCGCTTCACAGAGAAGAGCGGCAGAAAGCTCAAAGGCTCCTGCAAGGTGTCGGCCTTCTGCTGGGCGGCTGCTAATCGGACTCTCAGCTCGGCCGCCTCCTCCACACACCGTGGCGAGTTGTCCCTTCCCGGCCGTTCCGGGCCGTTCCGGGCCGGCCTCCTGCGCAGCTCTGCAGACGAGTTCCTTGGGGCCGCGAGCGGCGGCCACCGGCTCTGAGGCCATCTGCAACTGCTTCCTCCACAGACTCCCTTCAATAGCAGCTACTGTGCCTAGATCAGTCATAAATCGCTGACAACAGACCCGATCCATCAGCAACCTCCCTTTTCAGGCACGGGCTGTTGACTGGATCTCGGCCTGGCAACACCGCGTGCGCACAATCCTGAACCGGACCTGATACAAGATAGGCTTGAGCTTTCAATTACGGTCTGTGCCTCAAGCCTATATATTGCCACCTGTCTCTTCGGAGACATGGTCCATGTCGCCAATTGTTGATGGGCCGCCATGTGCACAAACATGAACGACGTAAGCCCATGCTCACCGCGCCAATCCGGCCCGCCGCCCGAATACGCCGAGCTGACACGTGCATGCATGCGCGTGATGTTCTCGACGAGCGGAAACCATGGCAACATAGTAAAGACCAGACTTTCTTATGCGTTTGTGGACTCTCAACTCAGACGTCTGGCTGTCGCTGCCTCCAGCACGCTGCAGCGAGCCTGGAGCCGGGCAGAGAGACTCAGAGAGAGGGAGAGGGAGAGCGGGCGGGGCCCCGCTCCCCTCAGAGTCCCTCTCTTCGAGGCCGCGCCTCGCGGCTCTCGGAGTGCTGCTGCTCGAGGAGCTTCACGCCTTCTTTGGCCTTGGCTTCGATGACCTCCTTCAGGCCTCGGGCGGCCGTGGCCCATCCCACTCGCTAGCTGCTTCCTTCCGGCCTGCTATCTGCTGCTGCGACTCCTCCTGACCAAGGGCCACGGGCATAGAAATGGCCGCGGTGACACAGCGAGATCATCAGAATCACACTTGCAAACACCCCAATTCCCTGATGCGGGGGCGATCCTGGATATCGGCGAACTGCTTCGCCATGTTCTCCGTGACGTGTGTCCGGAACTCTTCCATCTTCCTCTGCCAAGTTTATTTCAACAGCTCCAAAGGAATCCTTTTGGCAAGGGCGCCTCGTCTGCTCCTGCTGCATCTTCTCGAGGATGTCCGAAGCACTTTCCCTTAGTCAGAAAACTCTCAACCACAAAACCTGTTAAGCGGAAACCCTTGCAGGCTGAACACTGGCTGAGACGAATTGCCTTTTTTTAGACACGTGACAACGGATCATCAAAGTGAAATCGCAGAGTGGCTCGTTGATCTGCGCTCTGCAAAGTCCGGAAGCAGGCAAAGATTAAGACTTCTCAGATGATGTGCTTTTGATTGGCCAAGACACTTCGTGAGAAGGCGCTGGTTCAGCTCCTCGATCTCCTTGTCTAGCGCCGCGCGCTCCTGGGACATTTGTGACCCTCGGACCAGAGCCCTCGCACCCTCGGAAGCCAAGGCCGCAGCCTCCACATCCTGCTCGGCTTCCTCCGCCGCGTGTTGCTGCAGCCGGGCTAAGCAGGCTTGATGCCTGGCGCTCTCTGCATGCTCTGCGAGGGGATGCAGTCGGCTATTGAGCCGTGCGGACCTGTTGCACCCTAGCTTAGCGAAGCATTGCTTTCTCACGGCAGGAGCAGATTGGCAGCGCAAGGCTCTGGCATAAATGATATAGGTATAGGCTATGTACACGGCGGAGAGGCCAGGATGAGTCACGTGTGACAGACTTCTTCGCACGCTCTGACATGCACACGGTCTTCACCCGGGGCTCTTCACCGCAAGACTGCAGCTCAGGCTGAAAACGACGTCCAGAGGCTCAGTCCTGCAGCCGAACACCAGGAGTCTGCAAGTTGCGATTACTGGGCATTACAGCGGTCCTGCCCATGCAATATATAATTATATGTTGTGGCCATAACCTTGGGTGATAGATCAGTCCGACGATCGCAATAGGCACTCTGCAACTGAGCCCTCCGCAGGAAGTCCACTGGGGAAAGGCACAACATTCTTACGGCACCTTAGTTTCTTAGATGCGTCCTGCACCTAATTCAGTGCACTTCCAGCACCAGTCTCGCAAAGGGCGAAGCTCGAAGAGAAAGAGTGCCGAGCCATGCTGAGCCTCTGGCTGCCACGAATCAGTCCATGCATCCGCCAGCAGCCAGTCGAGCATATTCCACCTCTACTGGTGCTTACGAACCCACTATTTCTTCCATCGCCTCTGCTCGAACTTGTCCATCTCTACGGTGACACAAGCGAGAAATGGAAAGCAGCCGAGGCAAAAGAACACAAGGAAAGAAGGACATCCTTTGCAGAGCCTTGAGACGGAGTAGCAGGGAGATGTCTTCGAGAGTATCACAAGCGGACGACGCTGGGCAAAGCCCGCCTTCCTCTCGAAGGCCTTGCGGGCCTTGCAAGCACCATGTACTAGACTGAGTAGATGGCTATATCTTGCTGCAACAGTTGCAGTGCAGTGCTACGAATTACTACAGTACCACTATATACTTGACTAGATAGTACTTTATGTATGTTTAGTAGTCTTGCCAGACAGTACTGTCTTACTGCGTACTGCTACATTGCCATACTCTAGGATCGAAGGCAGCAGCGGCACAAGGCTGCGAATGGAGCCTTCTCCAGGTGGTGCAGAGCCTGCATCCTGGACTTTTCGAGGATCCCCTCCGCCTTCTTCTTCGCCTCTCTGTCAGAACTCAGGACAAACGCGGGGGTTGGGATGAGTCCCACGTGTAAGGGTAGACCGAAACGGGGCCTTGCGCAGGCCCTTCTGCAGGCGCTTGGCACCGGCATGGCTCTCACGCCTGGCAGTAAAGTTCGCGAACGGGCGCTTGAGACCGCGGCTTCTCTTCCAATGGCTTGCAGCCGTTCGCATGCCGACGCATGCGAAACCCCCAAGGCAGCTTCGAGCCCCATTTCGTTTGCAGAGAGCCCGGGCCGCCTCTCTTTCTCAGCCTTCCTCTTCGTGGCCTCGTCGTGAACCCGGGAACTGAAAGGAAAACCGAACCGTAGCTGGATATTTGGCTGCCCAAAACGAAGTAATCGGTCTCTGCAGAGTGCAACGCTTAAACCACAGGCAGAACAGCCTCCGCCACTAGCGCAGCCGGGGCAGTCCGCTGCAGAGAGCAGTCTATGCAAGTAGGAAGCTCAATCCTTTCATGATGCTGTCACCACCCGGTCGCTCCGCCAACAACCCGGCAGAAACAACAAGTGTGATTCTGCTGGCAGAGCTGTCGACAACTGAGCTGCAGGCGTTTGCATTGTATATGGTCAATGGCAATGAGTATGCCGGGCTCACCTGGACCTGAAGCTGGATCCTACGAACCGACTAACATCATGGCTCACTATGGTGATGCCGATGAGGGTGAATGCGGACGATAAGGATGATGAGACAGATGAGGATGGCTGTGACGATGATGGTGGTGGTGATGGTGATGGCGATTGTGACTATGGTGAACATGATGGCCAAGGTGAGGATAACGATGATAACGACTTGTCACACATGGTGATAATAATCAAATAATGGGCGATGATCTCGCTCATGATGCTAATGCTGCTGATGATGATGATGGTAACCATAATCATAGAGTAGTCACTATGGTGCGGTTGATGTCGACAGCAGCAGCAGTAGCAACAGCATCAACATTATCAAAATGATCATCGTCCTCACCAGCACCACGACCATCTTCGAAACCAGAACGCCTCGTCGTCGAAACATGTTCACCTCCTCCTCCTAATGACCGTCGCTTGCAACGGAAGCATAAGCATGGTTAACATCATCAGAACTCATGATGCTTATTATCATGACCGTCACCACCGTCAACATCAAGGGGGCTTAAGTGGGGATGTCAGGTTAGAGTTACCTTCCTTACTAGGTTCCTGAGTGACCCGTAAATGATAAGGGTACCCTTATTCCTGTTAATTATTCAGTTTTAATTTGGGGACCATACCATAACAAGGACAAAAGGATACTACTCAGGAACCTAGCCGAGCCTATGCCTATGACAAAGCACGACGAAACCAAAAACAAAGGCAAACCAGCACAATTGAGCGCATTTGTCAGCGTTTGGCAAACGTGCGAATGTGAGCAGTTGAGCCTGTCTGTGCTGTTTTTGCAAAAGGCGTGCGCTGCCCCGAACTGCCACGAAACGGAACGATTGCAGAAGACTGTGGTCTGCTCTCTACATGCGACCAGGCACCCATCAAAAAGTCCCCCTGACCGACCCACTAAAACATCATCATCTCCAACACCAAGACTGTGCTCTTCCTCCTCCTATTCCTCCTTGCCGCTGCTTTACCTGCTCTGGGACTCGTCTCCGTCACGACGATATCACCACGTTAACCGACGTGTTGATCGTGGTCGTGGTATCGCTGATGGTGGTGCATGCGGCTGCTGCTGCTGCTGCTGCTGCTGCTGCTGCTGCTGCTGCTGCTGCTGCTGCTGCTGCTGCTGCTGCTGCTGCTGCTGCTGCTGCTGCTGCTGCTGCTGTTGCTGCTGCTTCTCTCGATATCGCTGTGAATGCTGCAGTCGCCAGAAGATAACTCTGTTGATATAGCACTGTAGTCGCCTGTAGTCGCAGCGACAGGCATTGCTTAGGACTGGTTGAAACCCGGACCTTGCAGGGGACATGCCCCTCGACCACAGCACGGGCTCCCCAAGGCAAGGCAAGCTGAATACTGGCCGAGCGCCGAGCCTTGTGGGAGACAGCAGCCAAGCAGTCCAACTGAGAAGGGAGATTCAAAGCTAATAGGTGCTGGGAGGGGCTAGGATAGGGTCATGGTCAGAACGAGAGGCTCTTGCTGAACTAGCATACATTCATGTTGACACTTCGGTATTCCTGCAGGCACCCACTTGAACTACGGAGAAAGTTGATAGTCAAAAGCAGCGAAAGGATCTTCAGCTCAATCGCTCGATGGAGCCTTTGCGGCTTGGTGTTCTACTGCCTTCGAGCTGGACACTCCTGTGTCCCATTGGCGCCCGTTGTGACCCCAACAACATCCGCCGCTCTTGCAATCAGGGCCCCACTTCTCGTTGGAAAGTTGCAGGCATTTTCATATCCTCCCGAATGCAAAGCTGTTCAATGTCTTCACTGTGCCTACCATTGTGTCCACAAGTATTGGAACCCACCGCATTGGAAAAACCCTAAGGGATACCTTACTGAACCCTCCAAAGCCGCAGGTCCCAAGTCCAACAGCTGAATTGGACAAACTTAAAGGGATACCTTACTAAACCCTCCAAAGCCTAGGGCCACCATTCCTTCTCTTCTGGTGTATTGCAGCCAACCGAATTGGAAAAAATCTCCGTACGGAGAGGTCCGTGCGGTACAGGGGCTGGGGCGGGCGGTGCTGAGGCGGGCGGTACAAGGCCGTACAAGACGGCACAGCGCTTCGTAACGGAATACAGGACGGTACGCAGAGTATGGGACGGGACGGACAGTTCAGGGCCGTAGCAAATTTGTGGGACCACACGGGGCGGTCAAGACATTTCGGGACGTTAGGCACACAACAACGGGGTTCTAAGCTTAGCACCAGGCAGCAAAGAAGAAAGAGGTGACCCGAAACGGTACGAGGCCATAGGCAGTTGAGACTCGGGGCGGTACGGTAGCGGTACAGAGAGTACGTGGCGGTACACGGCGGCATACCCTGCGGGGCCGGAGGGGTATACCAGCACTTCCGGCCTTTACGGAACGTACGAGGCGGTGCATACAGGCCGTCAAAGGGAGCGGTGCGAGGCGGTAGCAAAGCAGACAAGAAATATATACCCTTTGATAGACAGGAAAGCAGCACGCAAACAGCGAGCGGGGTAGATAGCGGCGGCACATAGGTACTCAAGCAGTAAGTAGGCAGGTGCAGACAAGTACATAACCAGATAGCTAGCTACGCAACTAGTAGATAAACCAGTAAGTAGGCAGGTTGGCAGGGAGAAAACTCAGTAAATAGGTAGGTACACAGCTGGGCAAGTAGGTAGACAAGTAGGCAAGCAAGCAAGTGGCCAAGAAAGCGATAGATAGTAGGCAGCTAGGGAATTGCACAAATAGGCAGACAGGGAGAGAAGTTGCCTCGTAGTCAAGACAGCAAATACATAGGTAAGAAGATAGGTAGCTAGGTAGCAGTGGTAGAGAAGGAAAACAAGCAGATACATAGACCAATAAGTAAGCAGGTAAAGAAACACCCTACATCAGTTCTACTGCTTTCCGTCGGAGAGTGCCTGGGTGCTGTCCTGCGCCGCCCTCCGAAGAGGTCAGCGCAAAGTCAGCACTCGCCGACACTTGCCGGAGCTGCAGTCAAAACAGTACGTGTCGAAGTCACAGATAGAAAAGTAAGTAGGTAGGTGACGATGAGCAGCGCCATCACTCTAATTCTTTAATCTGGTCCCGGTGAGGGCCCCGCACAAGGAAGATGAGTTGGACGCAGAGGGGCCGCGGGCAGTAGGTCAGGCATCTCCGGCTGCCATTGATTGAAGAACCTGTGGATACGTTATTTGAGATATTTATCAAGTATTGCCATCGTGATCATTTATATAGAATGGGCCACGAAACAACCCCTCTGGGAGCCGCACATTCGAGTGGTCAAGGAAGTGCTTGGACGGACCATGAGCAATAGCTTGGGCGCGATGCGAAGGTCTGGTTGAAGGTGGAGCAGTGGAAGTAGCTTTAGTGTCTTCGGCTGCGGCGTCCAGGTCAGCAATGGAACTTGAGCACTCGGAGTGGTGAGGCATGGCAACCTGCAGCTGAAGCTGTTGTCAGTTGTGGATGACTTGCTTCTCCAAAGGCTCCGAATGCTAACTTGAGGCCAGCGCTTCGCATAAGTCTCCATAATCTCCCCGGCAATCTCGCAAGGCTTGCCAGCTTTCGTGTCAGCTTCGTAGATTGGATCCGTGCCCGCGGAAACAGGCCTTCTGCCGCAACAGCCACCACCACACTTTGAAGTCCGCGCCCTGCAGCCAGTCTTCAATGAACAACTCCAACTCTCCCCTTGCAGCCGTCGCCTGCTTCACGGGCTTTGGTGGCGGAAGGAGTCCTGCTCAAGGTGGGGGGCCCTGGGGCCCTCGCTCACAGAGATCGGTGCTCCTGCCACGGAGGAGGGGCGCCGGGGCGATGGAAAGCTCCATGGCCAAAGGCTCGGTTCGAGCTCGCTCGTTCGTGACCAGATGGCCTCGACACGGCGGGGCCCCTCAAATCCGAGAAGATTCCATGTCAGCACCTTGCAACTTGCCGATATTCCCGGCCTTCCCGGTGCCGAGTGCCAGCCGCACCTGCGAATTCCAGAGATCGCGACAAGCGACTCGTGTCCCTTGCAGCAAACATCAGCAAACCAATCAAACCTGACAGTTTGCACTGAATCCACACGCCCTTTGGACTTGCTGGGAAGTACTGGTACTGCACGTCGCCACTAAGCCAGTCAGGAACATATGCGTTCAACGGCTCTGCATCAACACTGTAACCTACTTTCCAAATCACCCGTATTTGTCCGCTGCAAAGTGCCGTCTAACTTCCATACTTCTGCATTCACCTGGACCCATACTCCTACATGCACCGTTGGGGACACAGAGAGCGAGAGAGAGAGAGAGAGACGCACACACACACACACAGACAGAATGATGTGAGTATGTGTGTATATGTATGTAACATATAGTCATGTAGACATAATGCATGCACGCTCAATGCATCCCATGATATGTGCTATGCATAGACATGCAGCCACACCCCGTCACACACACACACACTCGCGCACCCTGGCTTCGCTCAGCCAAGCGCTCTCCGCATCGCCCTGAGCACGTCAAACAGGGATGGTACAGTCTTATCACGGCCCCTATGATAGTTCTACTGGGTCGCTACTGCGGGCCGTCCGATTCAGCTGACCGAACTTCGAAGCCGGCACTGGGTCAGGGGCAAACAGATGGCCAACCTCCGCAACATCCGTGATCGTGGCGGCCACGAGGCGGGTCTTCACCCGAATAACCTGACACTTCGACAGCTTCGCAGTTGAGTGGTAGTCGCATGTAGTCCCAGGTCTGAGTGCTTGACCAAGGCTGTCTGCGTTTTGATGGCCGCCGTCCAGTTGCCTCAAAATCCGTTGGAGACTTCAAGGCAAAGGGCTCTGCCGATCGCCCCTGCGGCCCTGCGCCGAGCAGCTCTTGAGTCGATAGGAGAGGCTGGATCCCAAGTTGGGGATCTGATACTTCGGCAGCCTGCGAGGCCGTGCCGGTCCCAACAAGCGCCCCACGCACGCTCTTGAAAGGGGCGGACAGGAGGAGCTTCTTCGAAGCGTTGATGGCCGTGGCGGACTTGGACCTGGCGACGGCCGCGGCTTCGACCCCGCAAGAAGGGGTGGTTCAAAGTTCCGAATTCGCATTAAGCGGTCGCCGGCGGAGCTGCACCACGGGAGTCTTGGACGCCTCTGCAGACGGCAAAGCTCCTAGAGTCTTAGAAGTCTATAGCTTGTAAAGACCGCCACCATGGCCTGGGCAGCACTTGAGGAGTTGGCCTCGAAGCACAGGATGTCACAGGGAGGGCTTAGGGCCCAAAGGACTGTTAGGCTCCGGGCCACAGCCATTGGCACGTGAAACTGGAAGGAGAAGGTCAGTACCTGACCAGAGCGGGAGGGACTCGGAAGGACTCGGCGCCTGGCTTTGTCTTGGGAGCACCAGCCAGAGGAGCATCGTATAGATCAGCCAGCGCCTGCGCGAAAAGGCCGCGTCCGTGGCCATGTGGCCTCTGAGCTCTCAGCCTGTCGAGGTTCTCCCAAATCAGCGGCATGTCCTGGCAAGGAAAAAAAAGCAAGCCTTGCTACATTGTCGCGAGGCAGTCCTCTTCCATCTGTCGCTCCCAAAGGTCCCACCTCAGAAGAGCGAGCACGTGCGAGTCTCCACAAAGTTATTCGGAGCTCTCTGACGAGACACTGGGCTGAACCCAGGGCACGCAGAGCAACACCTGCAAGACTCCAGAGGCCACTCAGCGAACAATCCTCACCGGAAGCCTTCCGAGCCTTCGCCGCTCGGGGGTGCCTTGATAGATGTTAGACAGGCCGTTGCCTCTCTTGCTCAGCTCATGAAAGCCGCATCGGCCACAAACAATTTTGCTCATCTCGGACGCGCATGCGCTTCACCTCATGGCACTCGCCAGGCAACACCCTTTGAAGGATTACCTTGGAAAAGTACTCCCTGGCTAGGAACTCGTACCATTCCAAGGCCTCTGTCTCAAGATGCCGCATCGCGGTGTGATTTCCGAGATGCATCTGAGAACGATATCCCGGTTTCCAAGCGGGGAGATCCGGTCCATTCGGATCCCCCGACCGCGCAAAGTTTCCAAGGTAAGTGGACATAAGGACAGGCAGACTTCCTTTGACCATTCCCCTCCAATACATCGCATCGCTTCCATGGGCACTATGTTTCAAGCCGGCAAAGGTGTAGCAATAGACGGTTGTCTCTTGTGCCAGCAGTTGGCTCATGTAGTAGCTGCCTGCAAAGTACCAGAGATCATTGCTCAGTTTCCCCAGCGCTTCATGCACTTTCTTCGCCTCCTTCGCCTCCGGCTCCCTTGTCTCCCAGTATCGCGCGAGGGCAGCGTCGGGCCCGGTGTCCGGGAAGTTTCGGGCCAGGAGCGCCTCGAGCTCCGAACGGCTCCGCACCTCCTGGAAGAGCGTCTGCTCCAGCTCCACCTTCAGGCTTCAGGGAGGGCTCCTATGGCTTATGGCAGTCTTATGGCTCTTGGATGCTCTTGGGCTTCGGGTTGCACTGAAACTCCTCCCTCTGCTGGGGATTTAACGGGAGTCCGTCGAGACATCACTACCTTGGCGCCTTGCCCAAGCCATCGCGCTCCGTGACACCGAGAAGCACCGGTACTCTCGGATATCTGCCTTCCTGCAATGCCTCCACAGAGGATCGAGGCTTCACGGAGAGCGCGGGGTCCCTTCGGTCGATGCTTGGCTCGTAGCAGTCCTTAGCCGCCGCAGCCCAAGTCTTGGCCACCAGAGCCGCCGCCGGCAGCGCGCGCAGGGCCGCCAGCTGACCAGGCCCAGCCGCACAGCCCAGCTCCTGCACCCATGGCGCTAACCCAACAGAAAAAGGAGAGGCCAAAAAAAGTCGCATCCTTTCCTGTGGGCAAACTGACGCAAACTCTCCTCCGCCAGGCACGCGCCCCAAGCCTCGGCCGTCTTCCCCAGCCACCTGAAAAAAGCAGCTTTCTAGGCGGCTGGGGCGGCTAGTTTGAGGGGGTATGAGTATGAGTACTAAAGGCTGGCATTCTTCGCGACTCTCTAGCTCCGTGCCCTGTCTTCCCCTGCCAAGCCACACGTCACAAGAGGAGTCTAGCTGGCGCACGTTGTTCAGGTCAGCGCAGCTCTGCACCTTGGCATCACACCCATACACAAGTCACCGTCCACAGGACATCTGACCGGTGCAACTACTGGTGAGCGCAAGTCGAGCTAGAAATGTACTTACGTATTCTTGTCCAAGAGGGCAACAGGTCGGGTAGCTCACTAATGGGTGCTAGGTCTGCTGGGTACACCGAAGAGTTGAATCCATCCTGGGCGCCATAGCTTTGTGGAAGAGCCCCGAAGCGGCAGGCGACACCAACAAAGTCGAGACATACTGAGCGCCGGAGGACAGGCCCCAAATGGTCACATTCGAGGAGTCTCCACCGAAGCTGTCAATGTGGCGCTGCACCCATTTCAATGCACAGAGCTGATCCAGAATCGCATAGTTCCCTGATCCTGATCACACGAGTGCCTCAAACAGTCAAAGACCACACGGGACAGTATGCATCTTGGAATAGTAAACCACTACTACGACTACTACGAAAGACTCCATCAGTTCCTGCTTCGCTCCCACGCGACATGCTCTCCCGGTCTTCCTGCGACAGCTCCGGGTGAGCCAGGAAACCAAAGATCCCGAGGCGGTAGTTGATGTTGACGCAGCAGAGGCCTCTGTTCAGGGTGCTGCTGGTAGAGTAGATGATTTGACTGCCGTGGGTACACGCGTGCGGAATATGACGAGATATGTGGATTCTGTATCCCTTCATTGCGCCTTGCTTGAGGGCGAGCTGGTGGCCACTTTCCCTAGGGCAATGCGCTGAATGTGATTTTCCTCCACCACCATGGATGTAGACCAGGACGGGCAACTTCGGGGTGCTGTTTTGAATGGCACCCAGCGGTGTCCAGATGTTCAGTTGCAAGCAGTCTTCGTCATCTTCAAGGGCATAGCCCTCGTAGGTTTTGCCTGCCTGCCCTGGCTGGGGACATCTAGCCAGCCTGTGGGGCAGCTCGCGCCTGGGGGGCGGAGCTTGGGGCGGCTTCCAGCGTTCGGCGACGGCATAGGGGATGCCCAGAAAGCGTACGACACCCTCACGGACCCGGCCTTTCACATCTCCCTGACCCTCGATGTGGACCCGAATGGCTTCAAGGCCAGGGGCAGCGTCATGGCTCGCAGATGCTTGCATGCTTGAGCCTGCGACTCTGCAGCGGCCATGGTTCACCCACACTCGGCTCCCGCAGAGTGCCAGAAGCTGAGCCGCATGCTAACTCTTCGATGATGTCGTCTTCCTGCCGACGCGCTGAGGCTCCGATCCCGACTGAAGTCTGGACATCCAGGAATTCAACGCGCTTCAACAAGGCAAAAGATGGCACCAGGTCTTCCGACCTCGTCGGGTAGGTGAATCGAGGGGCAACGCATTGTGCGCCACCTGGCCGTCGGAAACCACACCAGTCCTCCTCCACTGCGTCCAATCTAGGGCAAGCACCAAGCTTGGAGAATGCGCGCGGCAGTGTTCGGGTGGGTGAAGACCGGCTGCTTGGTCAGGTCGAAGTACTGCACCTTCTCGCGAGGAGAAGAGGCTGCAGAGCATGCACGCCCATGCTGTCTAGGTCGAGGCCTCTGTCGGAGTTTGCGGGGTCTCAGAGCCGTCCCTGCACGAATGGATCCGACTGTAGTCATGAGACGCTCTGGAGCGTTCCTATATCTGCCTTGACGAAATTGTGGGGCTCTCAGATTCCTGCCGACAGCATACGATCCTTCTCACGGACAGTGAACCATCGCTCAAAGCCGACTCTGCCCTTGCCTCGGACACGGAGCCTCAGAGTCAGCAGCGCGCACGTCGAATTGCTCCACGAAGCTAAGGGCTCTGCAAGCGGGCGCTCTTGCTGCCAAGGGTCGGGTCTCATCGGGGCGTGGTGCAGCTGGCGTAGCTTCTGGCCGAGCTGTGCTGATTTTGCTGACATTCCCGGCAGGAGCAATGCACTTGACATAGAAAAAGGCCAAACTGGAACTGGATTTGTTCTTTGCATGCTGTGCGCACTTGATGTTTGTTCCCAAATTCCTGGCAATTTTTGCGAAGGCTGCCTGTCATCCCACAGCTTGCCGCGTATAATAACTATGCGATTGCGTTCTGCCTTGTCTCTGTCCGGTCTAAGGCTGCTCCCAACATGGCCGCTCCTCGTGAAGATACCACGACGGCATCGCGCAAGTCATCGTCGGAGAGCTGAAGGTGAAAGCGTCGAGACTAACACCGTGCACACACTCAAACTTTCAATGGGTGGAAAGGAATGGCCTCTTCGTATTCCGCGAAGTTCACCTGCCCAGTGCTGCAACTCACAAACTGCAAAGACACGTCCCTCCCACATGCAGCATGATGGCACCTCCTCCCAGCTCAGGTCGCTGTTGCAGCTTGGGCTGCGGCTCCGTGAGCCTCCGAACTCTGCACCCTGCACCCTTGAACAACTCCGCGTTGGACTATCTTGCAGGAAAGCACGCGGCACCATCCAGGCAAATCAAGGCGCAGACTGCTCATGCTGGACGAATGTGAGCAGTGACCTTGGGGAAATGTTCAAATGCTTCTTACAAAACGAACCAACAATTGAATAGTGCATGCTCTAAAGTCTTTGGCCGAGAAGCTTTTTCAAGGGGGCCCCAGAGGGCAGCAGTTTCTTCAAAAGGACAAGGCTCTGTGTACAGACGCGCCCCCGGATGATCCCCCCAAGCTTTAATAGCTTGAGCCCGTGGCCGAAATGAGAGCAGCACACTCAGACATGCTCAGACGCAACTGAAGCCACTCCCAAGGTGCGCAGGGTGGCTTTGCAAACAGGCAGGTTCGGGCCGCTTCCGCATCTGCACCAGATTACTCCTTCGGGTCTGCCCATCATGCCGCCGACTCGCTAAGAAGAATGTTGCCAAGGCTCCGAGAGGCATCGATGACCACTTTCTGCTCGACGTTCTTCACTCTCATCATCTTCTCTGCAAACCTGAGTCCGACGAGCTCTTGAAGGGTCCGAGGCTGCCACACCGACACGCCTGCCTCAGGGTCATCGCGGTTTCGGAGGACCAGTCGGCTTCGGGGCCGATGTTCGCCACGAGCAGCGCTCGGGCACCGCCTCCCAGGCAGTCCCTGGCCGCGGCGGGGCGCTTCGACTTCAGGGGAGCTTCGAGATGCTTCGAGTACATCTGCGACAGAACGCGGCCTCAAGAGCATGGTCAAGGCTGAGTTCCGGAAGCCCGTGCTGTTTTCGTAGCCTCACCAGGCAATGAGGGCCACTCCGCCAGGCTGCTCCGCGGCTCCGCTCGGCGCGTGTCGTCGGAGGGGAGCCTGCGTTGAGGTTGTTCACAACAGCGCCCAGGTGGGTGAGAACCTTGTTGATTCCGATCGCCTGCAGAGCACAGGTCGCCGGGCATGCACGTCTCCACCGCATTCCAGACCTGCTTTCTTCTGAGCTCCTCGTTTGCCTCTTGGACGGCCATGACCTCGCTGCAATCGCTGTTCCCTGACTCTTGTCAGACGTTGATGCCTGCCCAGACTCGGATCCTTCCCTAGAGTAAAGTCTGAGCAACTGGCCCGTTTCAAGCTTTCGGACCCTGCCAAGTCCACCAAGACCAGCTTCCCCCGGCGGACATCTGGGTCTGTATCCCTGGCCAGGGACAGGCCAAACGGTGGATCCGAATCCGAAGCACAACAGAAACTGGCAAGGGGCGGGCCACTAAAAAATATGTCCAGACGTGATCGAACTGAACGCAAATCCAAAACTTTCCAGGCTCCGCAACACATCCCGAACGCGATGCAGAGGCAGGCCGCAAACACTTCCGGGCAAGTCGGCAGGCGTCTAATTCGACACAGCGCAGCCCTGGCGTGCTCCCGCAGAGATCGCCAAGGCTTGGCACTTCCTCCTAGCAGCGCCAATGGCATAGCCATCTTCCAGGTATACAGCACAAGGGGACCAAGGAAATGAACTCTGGCCCTTGAGCTTTGCAAGCCGCTGTGGTGTTCAGGTGGGAGGACTTGAAGACTTGCAGGCTTAATGATTTACTGCGCGACCGGGCGGTCATGCAGGCTACTGGTGCATACCCCGACTGGTGACTGACCCAGACGTCTGTACAACAACCCAGGCTTGTCAACCCGCCAGCATCACCCACGGGCTCCACAGGCACTGAGTGGCTGTATATCCGAAAGTTCCGAGGGTCCTCACCCTACATGCCAAAGATTTGAAGGTTAACACCTGGAAGCCTCAGCCTCAGCAATTTTCATAGCATGTCGAGATATTGATTTAAAGCAGGCTTTTCTGGACTTTCTCGAGGAGGCCTCGCCTGATGGAGGAGCTGGAGGTCGATTCGATCACCACGGTAAAGAGACAGTGCGACCTGCTCAGATCCGGAGATGCGCTTCTGCATCGTCCGGCACGCAAGGCTTCCTAAACTGAGACATGTGAGCGACTCTTTTGTGGCCGTAGAGCTGCAGATGCGAAGTCTCGTTCAGAGCTCCGAGGCCGCGAACCCAGGCTGCGTCAGCGCCTCCCTCGCCAGGTCCACAGAGAGAGAGAGAGGGAGGAAGGGGAGAGAGAGAGAGAGACAGCAGCAAACGCGCCTCGCTTGGCTTTGCGGCTCGGGCTCCTCGAGCGGAAGGATCAGGATCAGTCGAAGAAGCAAGCGGAACCGACGTTGGCGCAAGACAAGAGTGAGAGGCATCAAGAACAGCAAAGCAGACAAGACGCAAGCAGCGCAAAAACCGCAATCGGAACGGAGCCCAAAGCAGCAAGCAGCGCGGTGGGCCAGTTCCAAGACAGAGATGCCCGCATCGGCCTGCTGGAGCTCATGCTTGGACTTCGGTCTTTCCTTTTGCTTCTGCCTGCGAGGGGTTGCAGGGCCCGCATGCACTTGGGCCTTCGATGCCTCACACCTCGGCTCTCGCTGCGGCTGCGCCCCCTGTGCGGCCGCAGCGCGCACGACACAGGCTTGGAAGATTCTTGTGAAGGGCAGAAGGAAGGGCCAGGGCTGGCCGGGCCTTCTCCGACTGCGGCTGCGACTCCGCCTGGGCCAAAGACAGGTACAGCTTAAGCTTGAAGGCCGCTCGCTCGAAGCGCCTTCTCGAGTTCGTCCTAGAGCGGGCAGACCGGGCCTTCACAGAGCCGCATCATGGCAGGTGTGGCTGTGGCTTCATCTGGTGAGAGGCTGGAGCCGGTTGCCGCTTCGGAGGCGGCTCCGTCCCTCGAGCCACCTTCGGGCGCGAGCGGGGCGCAGCGCGTCGGCTGGGGGAAGGAGAGGCAAAGGCCTGCGCGAAGTTCACCCGAAGCTTGGAACCCTGAAACATCTGCCCGTCCATGTCCTGAAGCAAGACAGAGGCAAGGATGTATACACCTGTGCCTCCCGCTGCTGAGGAGGGGGGAGGCAGAGAGCGAGAGAGAGCATTCGAGCAAGAGAGAAAGAGAGAGCGAGATAGACATCAGATGGCTGTGGATCCCCCGTCCTGCACACACATCTCGGCATCGCGGCGATCCTTGACGCGTTGAATTGCAGTGACCCAAATTGAGTCAAACCCATCCACTAAGACTGTTGACGCCGAGCATCGTAGAAACGGACGAAAGCAAAGCCTCTGTTCTTCTGGGAGGAATGGTCTCGTGGAAGGTAAACATCGCCAATCCTCCCACACCTGAGATCCGCAGGCTCAGGGCTGCTGGATGTCACCTTTTTGGTCTCGGGTTTAAGTCAAAACCATCTTGGCCATGGGCTTCCTGAAGAAGTCCCACACTTCATCTTTGCGAGTGTCGGGATAAAGGCCATCTACCTGTCACAGAGACAGCCGAAGACGGCTGTAGAGGATGGGCTCAACCCTCCCCACAAGCCTTCAGGCTGTGCAGCTCATCCATGTTGTCCACAGGAAGCGGCATTACATCGTTTGGGGCCTGGGGCCTGGGACCTACTGTGTGTACATATATACATAATATGATACAGGACAGAATACTATCCAATCAGCTAAAGTACATGCATATTGTATGATAACATAAGATAATATAATGCGCACGATGCAATTCACCGTATTGTAACATAACATAACAAAACATAACAAAATACTATATATTTATATAATATTGTATCATGTTATAAACTATTTGACCACATCAAAAAATATGATATGGTATATCAGAAAAGAACCAATAGAGTAGAATGCAAAAAAAACTGATATAATAGAGTATAGAAAGCAAACTATACTAAATTCTTACACAAACAAATTTCAGTAAACAATATTACAATATGATATAATATACTATATATAAACATAGTACAACAAAATATACTATACTATAATATACTACAGTATTCCAGAACATAACAGAATAGTACAATGTACCATAATATGTTTTAGCATAATATAGTATAACACAAGATAACATAATATCATACAGTCTAATATAGTACAGTATGATAAAATGTAAAATGCTGAAATATTTTAAGATTTTAAGACCATGATATAATATGGCATACTGTCATGTATACTTGCCGTATACGTGAAGCTATCCTGCACGGGAGTTTCGTCAGAAGATACTCTTCGCGGCGGCTCTTCCCACACAAGCTTTTTTTTGCATCGTCGGTCGTCCCGGCTTGGAAATGCCCTCGTGCTTGCTTCTTCCAGAAGCGTTTTGTTTGTGTTGCTACGATGCATTTCAGGGGGGCTTGAGAACGCCGCCCTCATCTGGAACTGCATTTAGTTTCTTTGCCAGAGCAGTGCTTAAGTGATTGGTTTCTAGCCCATATAGTAGTGTGCTACGGATGATGGCATCATGCACTATTAACTATTAACTTCCATCTCTTGCTGCCTGGGTTGCTAGTCGAAATTTCATGGCGAATATTGACCTCCGTGTTAGTTTCATTACCACGGTATGTATTTTCATACTTTTTTGGTACCATCTTGAAAATGTATGGAGCCCTCATTACTCATAGGGATTGCACGGACTCTATACTGTTGTGAGTCTTCTCGGTGACGCAGAAAAGTTTGTTGAGACCCCTGTTGCTTTGGGACATCACAAGAGTGTCATCAGTATAACAGACCATGTCAAAATCCAAACCTGGAACACTATGATTGACTACGTAGCCACTGATACAAGAATGAAAATCAGAATCAATGCACGTCACCCCCTCCCCCCCGTGCGAAAGCCCATGCCTTGGCTTTGCTTGCGGCGGAGTCTGGGCGAACCGACGCAATCGAGCTCATCCAGTCAAAGTTTCCCTACTAATGTATACTGGTTTCTTGTCATGTGGAATTTTCTAGATGCTTATCAGCTGCTTCTTGAAGTAAGGTGAAAAATGGTTTTGAGCAAAGTGGTTCACTCGGATCCTACATGTTATAAACCTTGCATCTCTTTAGATTGGGTTTGTAAAAATGCGTAGTTGTTTCTCTGCTCTATTCTTGGTGGCATAACCCTTGAATGTGCTCCGACATTCAGTAATCTAACTCAGCATATTCGCGTGCGTCGTAGGGGGGTCCTATGTCCAGATAGTGTTCATGTTACGCACATGTTTCTTGATACAACCATAACTTTTTAGGAGCGCTCGGCTTTTCCTCGTAATTGATTCCATCCAAATCAGCCATTCCGAACATTCCTCTTCCCAATATTGTGGACCGCAAACGTCTTTGTCAATGTTGCGGCATAGTGCAACCTGGCATTGAAAACGACACCTACATGAGTGCCCTTAGTTTGCAAGATCTCAGCTGATGGTAAATCATAAATGACTTTTCTTCAGAAGCATGTGCGCTATGCCGCGCAGGGACCCGGAGAAAAGTGAGATGTCTGAGCCAGAATCGGTGAAGGTAGCGTTCATCACTCTACCGTTGATCTGCTTCATGTCTTCAATTTTAATGAACCTACCAACGTTCTTTGACAAGACTTGAAATGCAAGCATTTTCGAAGTCCTGACCATTGAGGAAATTCGGGTATGAGGCAGTTCTATCCGTACACCCCTGTCATGTTTTCATTTCCTTCCTTTTCGCTTCGTTCTTTCGAACGTTGGGAACAACACTCGAGCCACAAAAACGATACTAACCATTCCAAGCTTCCCAAGAGCTTGAATGAACATCCGCTTCACTCAAAAGCATGATATCATAGCTTGGCGGCGCATGATGTTTGGGATATGCGCTAAGTGTTTGTGCTCCATCCCCCAACGTTTAAGCATGCAGCGCCAATTCAACGGTGCTCTGCTAGCTGAATAGCTTGTGGTGAAAGTCCAACTGTTGAAATTCTCGCCATTCTATCTCTATGGGACTTACCATATTCGTTGAGTTGGGAGTTCATCATGCCCTTGCTGCTTCGGAACCATTGTTTACGTTTAAATTGCATGTTCCATTACTTTTGTAGCTGATGAAAACGTTTTTCGTTTTGAAACATTGGAAACTTGGAGGCGCTCCTGTGCGACCTCGCTGGCTCTTCCCCACAGCTTTGTTCCTTTGAACCAACGCCAAAATGATCTGCGAAGTCGTCTACGGAAGTTGCTGGAGCAATAGAAGGAAGTATGAAGTCGGGTACCCCAAAAACCCGAGTGGTTTGAACAGAACTCTGAGCTTGCCTCGCTGCCCTTCAAGCACCGTCCCGGAACACCGTAGTGGTGCGTTGCTTTTCCGATGCAGGAGCTGGTCTTTTCTGAACATAATCAAACTGTGTACATGTATATACATGTAGGTGTATATAAATATAGACACGTCTTTTTTCAACAGCCATGCGCATCTTGCCAAAACAGCAGTGGAATGACGCGCTTCGGCGCTTTGGAGGGTTGACGGATATACACGTCTAACAAATAAAATACAATATATATATATATATATCAGTATCTGTGCATAACTTGATCATTTATGAAATATAGAACATAATATGAATATATAGCTATGAATAACATATAGTATGAACAATACAGGCCACACACACTATAATGTATGATATATAACTTATGATGTACAATATATACAACAAATAATATACGTCAAAAAAATATCTAATTTCATAAGATTGAACCTTTCTTGACATATGGTAACGAACATGCGATATAGTCCATACTATAGAATTGTCGTAAAACCTGCCTAAAACATGATGTGTATGTATGTATCTGTATGTATGTATATATATATATATATGCTTATGTGAATGTATGTATACCACGAACTTACAGGAGCTGCGCCTATATTATTGTATATCGCAACGTGGTGCTTGACCTTTGTGGTTTCTGGCTTCTGCGCCGAGCCCTGTTTCCTTGCTTGCTGGCCTCATGTTGCCACGCTTGAACATGTGCCGCGGAGCGGAAAATGCACGTTGGACAGAAGGTGGATCATCTGCGTAGACACGCGCTCCCGTCTCTTCAAGGGCCTCGAAGATACGCAGTTCCTGGCTGCGGAGCTGGCATGAGAATGCTGCGACTCAGGCAGCCAAAAGTTGGACTCCTGGAGGTCTCCATATACGTGCATCGGCGGCGGCCGCCTTCCAGAACCTCCCGGCACTGGGCGGAACTCGGCAACACCAGGGAAAAATTGTGGAAACCAATGCGCCCGGCCTGGCGCATTTCGTCAGGAGACCGGATAGGGACCGACTTCAGGCCCTCGCACATGAAGGCCTTGTGGCCGACCAGCGCATCCTGCTTTCAGGCTCTAAAGTGGAGAGGACTCCACGAAGTCCACAAGACGCCGTGGGGCGCCTGCTTGACCTCCAGCTTGGCCTGGCATTTGAGTGAACTGTATAGTGAACTCTCCTTATATAAATATGGGGTTTGCCATATGCAGCCCTTCACGAGCTCCTCGTCGGCTTTGTTTGCCAAGAGGTCGATCAAGTTCTCGCGCACCCCGTCGGGCGAGTAGATCTCCAAGAACGACGCCTGGCCCGGGACTCGAGGAGGGCGAAGGCTGTGGCCTTCACCGAGCCGCTGGCCTCGACGGTGAAAATCTCACCCAGCGCACTCCTGTCCTGAAGCGGCCATCGGATCACGAAGCAAAGAACTCTGCTCCTGGGCTGGCTGGGGCTTGGGACCCGGATGAACTCGAAGATCCGCTTGGCGGCGCGCTGCAGCAGGGAAAGACTTCACTTCTTTGCACGACACAAGGTCGGAGAGGTCAAGCGCCTGGACAATCCCCTGCTGTGCAGCGATCACTTCTGGGGGTGCCGGATCCTCCCAAATCAGCCACAGATCCCTCCGGTGCAGCATGACAGTCGCTGCCGTTCAGCTAACCCTTCAGGACAAGCGCATCCTGATGGCAGCAGCTTTCCGGCTACACACTCTGTTCACTACACTAGCCGCTAGGGGCCCTCCTTGACTTGCTTCGCCAAGGGCTCCTGACCAAAGAAGAGGACATCAAGTGCACGTAGCTCTGCATCTTACGTGAGGTGCTCGGCTCCTTCGGCGGGCCACTCATCGTGTGAGTTTTGCCCGATCCTTCCAAGGCGGGGTAGGACCGGTAGGAATCATGGGCTGCCAAACGGAACAGGGGACAAACAGCTTTCGTCCGCACCTGTGATTCCGTAGCCTGAGGTTCTGCGCAAGGGACAGGTAGTCTAAGCTCAGGCAGCTGCATTCTCTTACCAGACAGGGCCCGAACAGAACACAACACCGTTGTAGCCTTCCATGACCCTGGAGACGCATCGAATGAATGGGTTCTGAGACGCACCAGAAGGATCCGCAGCCTGTCCACCACGGGAGCAACGTGCTCAAACACATCCTGAGACAATGTCGTGGCTGCGACTTTGCAAGGGGGCCCGGCCCGGCCACGGTTGCTCAGCGGAGCTCTGCTTGCGTCCCTTCTTCGCTGATGAAGCCTCAGGGTCAGGGCCAAGGCCAGCGTCGGAGTTTTCCCATTCGAGTTTCCTCTTGGCACCCTGCCATTGCAGCGGAAGGCTTTGGGTTCGGATTGCCTGCTCCTTGACACAGGCGCCGAGGTTGCAGCATCTCAGATAGAGTCGCCGCCGCAGTTGCCGTGGTGGTGCCTGCTCTGTTCTTCAGGCTGGAGCCGAAGCATCACCTCCCATGAATGTGGCAGGCATCTGAATCCCCCGAGTCACAAAAGAGTCTCCCTCTCTCAAACGGCCCGGCCCTCTGCCTTGCCGCTCTTCGCTGAACTGGCAGAGAGCTTGATGCGACTCCCCTGAATCGAGGCCAAAACGTCGACGCGCCCCCCCCCCCCCCCCCCCCCGGTCCAAAGACTGCGGAGAGCGGTCCTCCTTCAACAAGGGCCGGCACCGCACGAGCACCCCAACAGGGGCTGAGCCTGAGCCCGAGTTCACCTGTCAGGCTGTAGTCTGCCTCCGCCTCCCCGACGCCAACTTGCCGACCTGACCTGGCCCAAAGATGCCTGGGACGGACCGCTCCGCGACTCCGGCGAGTCTGTGGTCGCCTCCGTCCGTGCAAGCGGGCCAGCGGCTAGACACGAAGCGAGCAGCACGCGCCAGCACACCACCTCGTCCTTCTCCTCTTCCTCCGTATCCTCCTCACCCAACGGTGCGCCACAAGTGCCGCGCGCGAGCACAGCAAGCGGCGACTGGCAGTCCTCCAGCTCCTCTTCCTCCTCCTCCTCCTCCTGATCCTGACATGAAGTCGGATGATGGTGACTCTTCGCATCTCTGCGGCGAGCGCCCCGGGCCCGAGCGCCTCCTCCGCAGCCAATCCGGCTTTCAGCTCCCGGAGCCTCTGCTGACGTGCCCGGAGGATCTCCAGGTCGGGCGAGGAGGAGGACCCTTCTTCCTGCACGGGCGCCCTCCACAACCCCCGGCCCGACATGCCAGCCTCGCCTGCAGCGCCCTCCCGCCTCGGCCGAGCCGGGAGAGTCGGGTTGCGACAGGCGCCTGCATGCAGCAGAACGGTGGCGCGCCGTGGAACCCCTTCTGTTCTCGACAGCTCCTGCTGCGAAGTCCTCGCAGCCAGTGGGTGTCCTGAAAACTCTGAGGGAAGACATGCATGCGCTCTGATCAGATCAGGCGCCTCTTCCCCATCTCCCACAACATCGATGCCTCGGAATAAAGCAGGGCTTCCCCGTCTGCTACCAGTGAAGATCTCGTGCCTGGGAGGGTAACTGCCTTTCCTGAACAAGTGAGAACCGGTGAAGCCGAGATGCTGCCCATTGCGCACGGCAAGGAGCACAGCAAAGGGGTGCGGAGGGGATTTACCAACTACGTCTATATATGCTATACGTTTTTTGAATTCAAAAAAGAGTGCTCTGCAGTCGCTACCTTGCGGCCGCGCAGAGCCATGCTCGACTCTGTATAAGTCTCTTGTTTATCAAACAAAGATGTCGAGGACGTCTCACAAGAGGAACCGTGCGGGTTGTGAGGAAGGCGAACTGACATCAAACATGAAATTGAATTGATGGCTCTGAGCCTAGAACTCACGCAGACTGTCGTCTGCCCCTCAAGAAGTGGAAAGCCACTTCCCACCACCTCCTGTCAGTTTCCCTCAATGACATCATGCCCTAATGCTGCATCGGGTGAGGATGCTCTTCGAGCAATCCCATTATGTCGGATTTGGCTTGCGAAAGTGGGCCCGACGTCAGCAATGCCACCTCGTCATGTCACAACTCTCTGGAAGTCTCCACGTGCATACATCCAACTGAGTCAACCATTTCTTCGACTGTTCGGTCAGCTGTACACTTTCCCTGGGAGATCACTCGGTGATCCGCAGGTCTTGTGAGACTTCAGCCGAACTGCGCGAAGCGCTTCACGCCAAGGTTGAGGCTGACTTCAAAGAGGTCAGTGTCGACCCGAGCCGGACGCCTTCATTTACTGGCCCCAGCGAGGCACCTGAAGGTGGGCTCGGCGACTAAGGTTGCTCCGATTGACAAGCCAAGCCAAGCCTCGCGGTGGGGCCGTGGCCTCACTCTTCGCTGCTTGCGCTTCGAGTCCGAGCCGTGCAGCCACGAAGCCACTAAGCTGCGGGCCGCCGGTGGAGGAGGCGCGTTGGTAGCTGGACTTCCCGCTGGCTTTGAAGGTCTATTGGGCTCGGTTTTCAGTGGCGGCGGCAAGGCAAGCTGCGGTGGTGGCCTGGAAAGTCTCAGGGGCCACTGCAAGCCAAAGTCTCTGCCAAACTAGAAAACCCGACTTGGGCAACTGCGATGGCAGAGGCAAAGAGGACTGCAAGGTGCCAGCAATGCTCTGGTCGCCTGGCAGGATCTTCAGACGACAGAGGCCAACATCTGCACTTGCTGCGTGCCTGTGTAGGCAACCAGCTCGCTGCTTGCCTGAGCGGGCACAGGACACAACACCCATGCAGCATTATCACCGGGCGTGTGTGCCGCAGTTACAGGCCTCAGCAGCGGCTGCATCCACGGGCACGTAGAGCTTTTGGCTCAGGGACGGCGCGTCCTTGCAAAAGGTAACTTTTTCTTTTCGGATCTCTACACCTTCCGGGCAGCTGCAGCCTCTAGCTTCTTGATCTTCCGCAGACGTCCAGGCGGCGCCCAGACTGCCACCCGGCCATCAGTGGAGCATGTCACCTTATGACATGGATACATTCTATAGGTCTTCTTGAGATCACTAGAATATGCTTTGAGGATTTGGACGTGGAAGTTCGGACAGGTTGACATGTGGTCATTCACCGTATACAACTCAGAATGATCACATATCTTATCTCCAACATACATACTGTGACATATACGCACGTATGTGTATATGTCGGCATGATACAGATTGCATTCTCATACATGAACACATATTAGCATGCACAATCAGAACATTGGGTGAATGCGCGATTGTCTCCGTTCGTTATCCGTTGCAAGATGAGGAAGAAGGATGTGCTTTTCAAGATGAGGAAGAAGGATGTGCTTTTCGCGATCACTCGACGCCAGTTCCACCCGGAGCCGAGTTGCCAAGAGCCTCTTCTTGCCCCGGCCATTCCCCGGCTGATTGAACCATCGGACCTGCCTCACCCACCTCAGTCGGTCTCAGGGTGTTTCCCCGAACCCCGGCTCTTAAAGACACGTTCATGCTTGAAAGCTCAGGGCTGACACACTTGGGGCTTGGGAACTCAAGTCAGGCTGCCCACAGCTTCGCTGGGGGACCCGCGAGTCATGTGCTTTGAAGACCGCCAGCAAAGAGGGGACGGTAATGGACGAGGCATCCCATACCTCCATCTCCAAGCACTTACCAATTGACGTCTAAATGGCTCGGGACTTGGCTGCAAGAACAGCAGAGCCTACAGCACGGCGCACTCGAACGGTGCAGTCGGCGGAGCCAGATGCCAGCAGGCAGGCATCGCGTGAGAACTCCAAGAACCAGACCTCAGAGAACGGCAAATCTCTATTGACTCTACTGTGTCGGATCGAAATCCGAGCGCCCCTGCAGCTTCCGTATGTCCCCGCAGCCGCTGATGGCCTGCGAAAGCGCACCGGGCCTTGTGTTCCGAAGCCCTGTGACTTCCGCGGCCTGTGACTTCCGCGGTACCTCGTTGCAAAGGGGCGTGCTGCGAAGCTTCAAGGAAGAAGTCCGACGACCTCGCCGGAAGTCCGGAGTGAAGTCCCAGATCCACACGCCACCGTCCTGTCATGCCCAGCGTCGCAGGGTTCTCTTCTCGCCCGTGCACCCGCAGAGCATGCGGCTCACCTGGTTCCCCACCGCCGCGATGCCAGGGTACACCGGATGACAGGCGAGGCTCAGCACAGCGCCGCCGCTGCCACCTTCAGAGCTCCGAGGTCTGCGAAGGTCTGCGACTGCCGCCCTACCTAGCAGTGAGTCTGCCTGCAAATCGCCCTCCGAGGATCATGTCGTCATCCTCCCTCTTCACGTACCAAGACGCCACGGAGCCATCCGCGCCAACCGACAGGGCCTTAAGCAGGAGGATCGAGAATCCATCTCTATGACAGCGACATAGCGACACACCTCAGGCCGGGACGAGCAGCGGCTCTGCCACCGAGAAGGCCACGCTGTGGACCTCAGGAGCAAGGGAAGGAGCGAGGGGGAGCGAGACTGCGAGGCAGATCCGCGGGGGACTCGGCTTCGAGCGGCGCCCTGGTGGGCCTTCCACCGCTTGATGGGGCTGGCATTCTCCGCTTCCCAGAGGAACTGACCAGGAAGTGACCAGCTCGCCAGCATTTCAAACCAAGAGGGGTCAGTAGAGGCCCGCACAAGGTTGGAGTCCTGGTCCCCAGAGATCAAATAGCCCGCAAAGGAGAAGCTCAGGCACCTCTTCGGGATGGAGAAAAGCCTATTCTGACCGAAGCCATATAGGAAGCTATGTGGGCATGTTCTCAGCACCTTATGGCCGCATCGTGGCCACGAAGCACACCCAGCGGACTCCCATCTTGGGCGTCCTCTGAGAGCTGCCATGGAACCATGATCAGAGGCTGAGCTCAGATTTAGTTGTCAGATTTGCAAAGGGCCACTATGCTGTCTATGGCTGGGCCGACCCAGAGGCGGATGGTCTTGTCGCTGCTGCCAGAGGCCAGGGTGGTCCTCATGTCCACAAGGAGCTGCGCAGCTGCGAGGCAGATCAAGCAGATCACTGCGAAACCGAGTCGAGTGTGCGGCTCGTTGCTGGAGAACTTCACCTCCCAGACTTGATCTGAGTGGCCTTTCAGGGAAACCTCGGAAGGGAGGAAGGGTCACGGACTGCAGACGAGACTGCCAGGAATTCGAGCATTCTGCCAGGAGTTCCATGACTTCCAAGTCCCAGAGGTGAACCTCGGACGGAGGCAGAAGAGAGAGCGAGAGAGAGAGAGAGAGAGAGAGAGAGAGAGAGACGCCCGCCTCGTGGTCCGCCGTCGCCGCGGCCATCATCATGTTCACCTGCAGGGAACTGCACGCCCAAGGACGTGTTGAAACTTGGGGGGCCTGGGGTATGGCCTCTGCTACGGCCACAGCCCAGACCGGATGCGTGGCCCCTTTGCGCACGCGGAACTTGTCAAAGCGCCGCTGGCTCTTGTACCTCGGAGCTCGGAGGAGCCGCCCCAGTGCCCAGCTCGCCCTTCCCCACCCACCCGAGCCTGTCGGGGAACTCGGGCACCAAGCTGCACACTTTGGTGTAGTTCCGAAGGTCATGCGTGGAAAGATCTGAAGGGCAGTGAAGCAAGGCCAAGGTGCTGCACTTTTGCTGATGATCTAGCTGCAGCTCTGGCACCTGAGTAGATCTCCTGAGCCTGAGGCTGTCAAGAGGCGGTAGGGCCCGGAAGGATGTGGGGCCGGCACAGCCGCTGAGCCCCGAGCTCTACGAAGCAGCTGGCCATTGCCCATCTAAGAGTCCAGACACTCTCCACACTGCGTGCAGCGAATTCCAACGCTTCCGCCTATATCTACGTCATGGGAGCCCTTGGCTGCGGAAGAGACCTCGGTTCGGTCTCACAGGCCACGCTCTCCGCTCCCAGCTGAAAAGAGGGCAGGTACTCTCCTTTTTTGTTGAAAGCGAGGCGGCGCCGCTCTTTTCCGCAAACCCTTGGCCCTAGCTTGGCCCTTGGCCTTTGGCCTTGGCCCGGTTCCGAGCCGGAGAAAGCCGAGAACAGCCGAGAGAGCCGAGCCGACGCGAGCCGACGCGAGCCGACGCGGGAAGGATTGGGGAATGATTTGGGGAAATCTGCCAAGAGGGCGTCTGTTGGGAGCGCAAGACTCTTCCGACTTCCGATTCGGAAGGTCGTGAGTCTGCCCAAAAGGCAGCCAGGCCATCAGGCCGGCCGTGCGGCCAGGCCATCGCAGAACGGGAAGTCTCAGGAGGGGAGGAGGGGAGCCTGCTTCTCCTCCTTCACCTCCCAGCCTCAAAATGCCAACCAGACAGATCGCACCTTGCCGGAGAGATGCGATGCTTTGGGCCCCCCTGCGGACTGCCAGGATGGAGTCGATGATCAGCTGGGAGGCGTGAGCCATGATGCAAGGAACAATCATCAGCCTGCGGAGGGCGCACGATGAGATGCGACCCTACGTACGGAAACACACCGCCAATTCCGGCTCGGACCCGGAGTTGGCACGAAGAACAGGCGGCAGGGCTGACATCACGGAGACCTGCCGAGTTGGCCCTGCTGGCCGCTGCTGGCCAACCGCACTCTCCGAGTAAATGTAAATTCGCCAGACCACACAGACAGGCAGCGACTTCTGGCTGGACATCAGCACCACGGTCACCTGAGAGTCGATGCGGTCGACACGGCGCCGTAGCGTGAAGGGTTGAAACCCAGCGCAGCAACAACTGAGATTGCTGGCCCACTCGCGGGGCTCCAGCACCGCCGCCGTTGCTGAGAAGTAGCCTCCGGGCCGCATGACGCATTTAGCGAAGGACGAAGTGTTCGCACTTCGGGGGGCCGACCCACAACACGATAGACCAGGTGGATGCCGGCAGCGATGCCCAAGGCGCAAGACAGGTCATAGGACTCGCATCAGCCAAAGCATCAAGGCCTGCTGCAAGTGTCCCCGTGACTAAGGCAAGGGCATCTGTCGAGACGATCTTCGGCTGAGCGCTGGAAGTCATCAGGAGGACCACCAACAAGATGCAACTTCCAAGGGGAAAATGTGGTCAGACTTCGAAGCAACACACACACACAGACAAAGAGGGGGGGGGCCACAGGCGCCTGTTTTGGCAAAGGCCGAGAACCTTCTTGTTGGTCTTCGCAAAGCTCTTGGCTGCTGGCCACACCTTCTGCTTCCGAAACTTAGCACGAGAAGCAACTGAAAGGCCATACAAGGTTCGAAAGGCCTCCCGAAGTCCCATCCCCACGACCAAGGGCACCAAAGTCAGCCTTCCATGGCTCTGGAGTCAGTAGCACCGGCGAAGCAGACAGCGTGCAGCCATGGCGCCAAATGAGCTCGAAAAGCATCTCTGACGGCTTGATCGGCACTTTGGCAGCAAAGATCTTCGACACGGACCACGGCATCGTGGCTACGCCTAGGGGCTGGTTGTTTTCAGCAAGGTGTGTCTGTGTGTATGTGTATGCTTGACTTACAACTCATACTTACGTGGAAGCTCCAGCCTAGGAGGTTGGTGATGGTCGTGAGCAGCACCGCCAGGGACACGTTGCCCTGCGGATGGTCGAGTCTCAATCTCACTGGAGTCCGAGACTCCCAGACGCCTGCACTCAAAGGCCCGCCTTGGCTTGTGTCACCATGGTCACTCCGGAGGACAGGGTCGTGGGCACCACGCAGAAGACGGCCAGGCCCTGCGAGCGGTCGGTGACTTTGAGCCTAGGCCTACAGAACTTCTCTCCCGGCCTCTAAGAGGGTCTCCTCGACATAGCCCTGCCCGTAATGCAGGATCGGATAAGCGAGGAGCGGGGTGACGCCGAGGACGAGCACCACGGACAAGGTAAGTGCCTCTGGCAGCTGCGCAACAGTTCGAAAACAAGCCCTTAAGCGTCAAGCTCCTGTTCTTCCACTTCCTTGCGGCGTCCTTGCCCCTTGACCCATGTGCTTGCTGAGCTCCCCCGCCTTGTACTGCAGGCACTCGGAGATCGAGTCCAGGCAGAGACCCGACACAACGAAAATCACGATGACCGCCACCTGCAAGGGCAGGAGGGGAATCTCCCAATGTTGAACATCGAAAGCCCTTGCTGGTTTGGATTGAAATGACGTGAAGCCTGCTTTAGTCATGTGAGTCATGTGCTGCCTGCGGCAAGCGAAACCTCCCAATTTCGATGCCATCCAGGGCTTCTCCTGCACCGAATCTCTCGTTGGCCGCCCGGCTCGCTCTCAGCCGTCCTCGCTCCAGCTCGGCCTGGTGCCGGGCAAACCAAGCCGAAGGTGATCACCTGAAGAAAACCAGGCATGGACACCAGAAAAGATACACCGACGGACCGACGGCAGAGACATCTGAAAACAAAGAACACAATTGTCTTGAACTCCAAGGCGCGGCCAGGAGGCCAAGGATTAAGAAATTCCTGGGCAGAGCTGAGACGGGGGGAGGCCCTGGCCTGGATTCAGAGTCTCTTTCTGAGCTTTGCGCTTGATGATGAAGTCCTTTGCAGTCATGGCTGGAGGGGTGGCTTTGAGCCAAGCTGGCATCGGGCGAATGCGGGACGGCGCTCCGAGTGATCTACCATCCTGCGCACGACGGCTGCAGCAGAATTAATGTTGTTGGGGACGCACCTGGCTGGCGCAGGCAAGCGCCCGCGAGCTGGATGTTTGGGATAAAACCAATCCTACGCGTAATGATTTGCACGGTTAAGGTTTAAGGGCTTAGGGACTTAGGGACTTAGGGACTCTTTCTTTTTGTGTGTCTAATGGACCCATGTGGGCAATTGTGTACAGCCTGTACAGGACGAAACAACTGGACGTTTCCAAGCTGAACACCGTCGGCAGCGACCTGCCCAATAGTGTATCTTCAGCATCTGGACTCACCCAACCTCATCGGCCGAGCCGTTCCCAACACAAATCAGGGTGTCATGGATGACGAACACACAAAACAAGACCAAATATGCTTTTCTGACTTTCTGTTTTCGTTTATGACCCAAACGAAACCCGGTTTTGGTCTCAGCTCGACATACATAATCAATAAAACCCAAACCCGGGATTGGTTTCAAGGTGGCAGGATCATTTGCTCTATTTTGGCCTGTCCTGCAGAATCTTGTGGTCTTCTACAGCGGCGCACGCGCAATTCCACCCGCCACTGCTTTTGCATGTGATCACGTCAGGTGTGACTCTGGCGGTTGGCCTTTGCGATCATGCCACTCTCTACCTTCCTCACACGCGCTGACGCCGGCATTGAACACAGTGGGCACCACTCTGCTTGCTGGCATATGTGAGCACAAACACAGAGCCATCGATTCTCGCACGCTTTGATGGTGGCGTTGAGGCTGGCTAAGGAGGTAACGGCACACCCCGATCCGCTAGAAAATGAACACTGGACTGGATTCAGCTTCATCGTCGTGATGCAACAAACTCCGTTTGCGACCAAGTCCCTGCTGGCTCTGAAACACTTATAGGACGCACTCAAAAGCGAAAGGGATCCGTACCACCAGCACCACGTAACAAGAATCAACATTCATCCAATGTGCTCGCGAGGGAGTTATGCACAGAAACGAAAGCCGCTGGGCGCTGGCACTGGCTTTGCGCACGACGCCTGCAGCAGAATTAACGTCGTTGGGGACGCACCTGGCTGGCGGCACACGTGCAAGTCCACCCGCCACTGTCTTTGCGTGTGATCACGTCAACAGTAACTCTGGCGGTTGGCCTTTGCGATCATGCCACTCGCTACCTTTCTCACATGCGCTGACGCCATTGAACACAATGGGCACCACTCTGCTTGCTGGCATATGTGACCACAAACACAGAGCCATCGATTCTCGCACGCCTTTATGGTGGCATTGAGGCTGGCTAAGGAGGTAACGGCACACCCCGATCCGCTAGAAAATGAACACTGGACTCAGCTTCATCGTCGTGATGCAACAGACAGCGTACTGCATTGCCCTTTGCGACCAAGTCCCTGCTGGCTCTGAAATACTTACAGTAAGAGGCATCATAGGACGCATTAGAAAGCGAAGGGATCCGTAGCACCACGTAGCAAGAATCAACATTCATTCAATGTGCTCGCGAGGGAGTCATGCACAGAAACTAAAACCTTCGATTGGCAGCGCGCTGACTGAGCAACATGCAAACATTCGGCCATCCGCTTGCCCACGTCAAGCCCGCCCAGCGCTGCTGCCTGAACCATCGACTCGGGCGCATCGGCCAAGTCCAGGTGCTTGACATAGGTTGGTAACCCTGCCGACCCTCTACCGTATGACAGCAGAAGGTGCTTGACATCTTGCGCGCACTCTCTGAACCACGCCATCGTGGGTTTGAAGTGTTGGAAACCTTGCCCTTGCCAGAATTTTTCTCCTTCAACGAGGGACTTCAAAACCACAAACTTTGCCCCTTCACTTGTAACAGCGGCCAACATTTGGGAAACCATCTGCGACCCACCGGCGAGGCCGCAGCTCCCGCAACTGATAAGTTCGCACACACAGCCGCCGCCATACCCCCCCTCCCCACGTTCTGATTGCAAAAATGGCTCGATGCTGTTTCCAATGCATCCAGCCGCAGGACTCGTCTAATCGCAAACCTATCCTTGCAGCCATAGTCATGTAGGAGCGTTCTGCCAGTTCTTGCTGGAAAATGGAATTGATGGCTGAAGAGTCAAGCAACACAGCCTCGCCGCATTTCAGTGCATCCATCCGCTCTTGCTGTTTGAACATTTCTTCGCATCTCTGGCCATGAATGTCTCAAACTCACCCGCAAGAGCTGCCAACCGGATTGATCTTCGAATCCACCGGGAGGTGATGCGTCTTTGCGCGTGCCTCTCTCTCATGAGGATCACGATGATGACACAAGCGAGCATGAACGCCAACCATCCGAGGACGGCCCAATCCAACGTCCAGCTGGCCGCAGCAGGAACCTCAGCTCGCACGCCTGGCGCGTCGCCAAGCGCATGTTTCACGAAGGATGCTGGCAATGGCGCTGGCGCCAGGCATGGGTGATTCCATGGGAGGGGCCCATCGGGCACATCGCAGCTTTTCAGCAGCATGGTTTCGAAACAGAGAATGGAAGCCAAAAAGCCGAAAGAAGCTGCGCGAGAGAAAACAACCAAGGTGAGCCAAAATCTAGTTTTCGATTGGCCTATAGGTGTCATCCAAAGAAGGGCTTGAGTTTTTGACCCTTCTGCACGGGCTTTCGCTTCCGCTTGGACTTTGCAAGCTCCTGAAAAACCGTGCGCTTCCCAGCGAAGGCAGGGCTGGGCCCCAAGCCGGACACCTCCAGCACAGGCGCAGGCGCAGGAGGCTTAAAGAGGGAGAAGAGGGAGAAGAGGGAAGACTTCGGCAAGGCACCGAAGAGAGCTGGCGGAAGCGGTGTCGGGGTTCTCCTCCCACGCTCAGACCGCCGGCCGCTGCCCTTCCCGCCCGGCTCCCGGCTCCTGCAAGCGACGGGCCGAGGCCCCCGAGGCTCCTGGGCAGCACCTGAGAACCGGAGACAAGGCGTTACTACCATCGAGGCTTTTGCAGAGTTTGCGGAGTTTCAGAGCATCCCTCCGTGAGCACCGCACGGTGCTCCAGCGCCACCTGAAGACCACGCCGCGCCTTGTCTGCAGCCACCATACCATGCGGCTTACGGATGGAGCTCCACTGTCGACACAGCCAATGCGGCAAGGCAAGCTGCTTGGCATCCTGTTTCTTCACCCAGCCACCGCAGCTTTTACCTGCAGTGCATGACTCGACTTGACAATCACGGCAAAACCCAACGGCTCGGACCACTTCTGTGCAGAGGCACCATAGCTGTACGGAGTGCCCTGCGCGGCTGAAGGCCGCCACTGCATCTCCCACTTCAGCGCAAGCTGCTGCTGGGAAAGCTTCGGCTTCTGCTCCTCGGCTCCGAAGTGACCACGTGGACGCCCCCGCCGCCCGACCCCTGTCAGTCATGCACCTGTGTCGGTGCTGCCGGCTCGGTACTCGAGGTGCCTTCGACGTCAGCCAGGAGAGAGTGGTGCCACTGCAGCCCCTTAGATCCTTACCTGTGGCATCTGGGATCTTCTTGGCGGCCTGCGACGCCTGCAACAAAAAGGTGCACACTTTCTGGAGGGGTCCTCTCCTCGGGGCGCCGTGCAAGCCTAGGCTTCTTTTGGGTGCGCCTCGCGGACGTGCCGCGGTGGCCGGCTTCTGGTGCGGCCCATTGCATCAAGACACTGCACGGGGATCTCTCCTCCAGCACCTACAGCAGCTCTTGTGGAACAGATCCATCGCCTTTGGGCTTTTTCGAGGTAGACATGTAAATGCTTTGTGAAGGCTCTGAGCCAAAGGCCCGGCATGCCGAGCCGCTGAAGGAACCCACAAGCAGCCGAGTTTGAAGGTAGCGCAAACTCCGAGGATTTTCTGCCAACAGCACATCCTGTCAGCAGCGGCGAACTACCTCGCTGCAAAGACGCCGTCCTGCTGGAAGCACATTCTTCAATCAGAAACTCGGGGGGTTTGGAGAACGCGGCTACTCCTTGCTGTGGCTGTCGATGACTCCCTGGTGTTGCTCTCGGGCTTTACCTCAGGCCAAGGCAGGGTGATCCCAGTACGAAACGATTCTTGAGACCCTGACTCTTCTGGTAGCCGAACTGGATCTCTTTCTTCAAATCCTGTTTCACCTCTTTGAGGTAGACGCTCCCCTTGGCGGTGATGCGGTTGCCCTCCAAGTCCAGCTGCTTCAGGGGGCCCTCCACCCCACACTTTCTCACTGCAGCAGCTAGTCTTTGAGCGCCGCCATCCGTGATCTCGTTGTCCTCTCTGAAGCGTTGGACCACACGAATCGAATCGTGTAAGGCAAAACGGTGAGCTTGGGTGTGGGTGCCTTGAGCAGCAGGAATCGGAGCTGGCTGCCAGCCTCCAAGGCCTGCGGCACTTCTGACTGGCCGACGTGGTGCCCTCACGCTCACGCTTAGTTACCCTGACTTCCACGTTTGTCAGATGAGTTCGAGTGGATGACCCCTGCCTCCGCCAGAGCCGCGGCACCTGCGTCGGAGACCTCAAGCTTGGATGAGGTAATGGTCCGTGCCAAAAGCCAGTCAGCAGCCAGTCTCCGGGCGCGATTGTCTCGTAGGTCCAACAGGTTCAAAGTGCTTCCCAACAATGCCTCGACGCGCGTCTCAAAGTGAATCCGTCCTCAAGCCTCACGTGTCACTGACAGCTGTCAGGCGCCTTCGAGAGGCTCTGCACACCGATGTCCGTCACCTGAGCTCCACAACAACACCGACGCCGAAGCAAAACAAAGGAGCTGCAACATGTGTAGCTGCAAGATTGCGCCTTGTTGTGGTAGAAGGAGACCTGCCTTAACGTTCTGGACGACCTCAAGCTCCAGAGGTTAAAGAGTTGAACCCCTCTGAGAAGCTGAGGGCTGCACTGAATCAAATTGGCAACTCGCTGCACGCCAATGTCCTGATTCGACAAGCTGTGCAGTTGGGCTAGTGAAATCTTACGTGCGCAGGTCCGTGATGTTGTTGTCATCCAGGTAGACGTCGACAATCGTCTTATTGTTCCTGCAGCCGGCCCGGACTTCGCACGATGCCGCAAGTGTCGCTCTGCCGAGCACCGCGCGTCAAGGCTTCTGCAAGCCGTGCAACACCGGCGTCATCGACCCCTTGGTATGACACCTGCTCTGCCGGGCTCCCCCCCACCAGTCGGAGGAGCGGCCAAACAAGCCGGCAGAACGTCGACTTCTGAGCTCTCATCGAGGCGGCTCAAGGCCACTTCTAGCGTGGTCGCTGCCATGAGGACAGCGATAGACCTACAGTACCTACGCCTACATGTCACAACCTTGAAGAATTTGAAGCAACGTCGCAAAAGACTGCCTCGTGTTTGTTTACTTTCGATGGTCTGATCATGGAGTCGTCACCCGCGTGCAGCTAAAACCAAGTCTTTGCACAGATCACCATCCGTCGCTGCGGCGGAGGTTCTGTCTGAATGCCGGACGCACAAAAAAGGCACAAGCGCAGAAGCCAGGGGCGGCAGAGGTCCGAGCTATAGCCCCCTCACTTCAAGGAAGAGCCTCGTTCTCGAGGCCTTTTGCAGCCTGCATTGAGCCTCGCCTCGAGATTGCTTTGGAGTGCATTGCACTGGTCGCGTGCACTAGGGAAACGAAACGACACTTCGCCGTTTTCCGGTGGTATCTAAAGTCTCTATAAACATGCTTTGGAGTAATTACTCTAACTACAAGGAACGGATCTCAGATGGCACCGAGCACGGCCGGCGCCACGGAGCTTGGAGTTAACCTGCCATGCAGACGCGCCAAAGTCCGGCCTCTTCTTCTTGTGTCCCGGTGGGTTTTCCTCCCGGGCAGGGAGGCGCCTCCAACGAGCTAGAAAGGCGAGCCAGGCCGGATCCTTCAGGTCCTCAGGCCGAAGCGCGAAGAGCGAGAGAGAGAGAGAGAGAGAGAGAGAGAGAGAGAGAGCTGCAAGAGCTGGAGCTACAGTAGTTGCAAGTCTCAGACTTTTGTCACGACAGAGCTAATCTCTCGTGCTTGGCACGCTGCACGGAACCAGGCCGAGGCGATGGAAGACACCTGCTCGGCATCCTCTCGCACAGAGCGGGTGCCACGGCTGCGCGAGACACGGAAAGCCGCGGGCCGCGGAGAGTCCTCGAGGAGCAGGCCGTGCCCCGATTCGGGCAGCATGCAGCAGGAGACACCAGCGGGCGAGAAGAGATCACGGACCTCGTGACTTGACCATTCTAGCTTGTGACTCCATGTGAGGTCGAGACGAACCCCATTCCCGAAGACGTGCCATTGCTGCTCATCTCTGGACAATCCAACTAAGGGAACTTCGAAGCAAGACTCGCTGTTCAAGGACGTACTGCCTAAGCCCCAAAAAACACTTGGCCAAAAAGAAACGCCGATTGAGCTCTTTGACAGTAGTGCATTCTAGGCATTTGAAGTGCTTTGGCGCAGGTTTTAGATCAATGGTTACACTCTGTCCAATCCTCGAGGGGTGAGACCTCGACAAAAGCGACCCCAAAGACCGGGAGAAAGGAGCGGAAAGGGCCCGCACTGCGTGCTCGGCCTCGCTGAAAGGCACGGTGCAGTCGCCTCAGCACTCGTCGAAAGGAAGGAAGCTACCCAAGATGCCCAGGTGACCGAGCTGAGATGCACACTGTCACCCCAAATGAACAGTGTCGGAACACTTCCCCTCGCCAGCCTTGCATACGAGTCCTGGCTCAACTTTGATTCTGTCCGGGGGGGCTCCAGAACACGCCCTTACACCGATTGCCTGGAAGTCTTGAGACCACAGGGGCATCCTCCGCAGCACGCGGAGATAAGAGTTCACCTGGCAGCCCCTCACTCGCCATTGCAACCTTTAAAGAAGCTGCCATGCCAAGGGGCAGAACGGCGAAGATCCCACAGGAACCGCTCTCCTGAGGCTCTGCGAGTGTCGGCAACAGGGGCTCAAGAGACTAAGGCTCGTGCCGTTCTGTCTTGCAACGCTCTTGAACTTCTCCGGCTCCCGAACATCCAGCTGGCAGAGGCGTGAGCTCAAGGGATGCGGCTCTGATGAAAGTTCATGGTGCTCGATCTGGTAGTGTTGTGGCTGCTAAGTGCTCTTCGCAACATTGGTGCTGTCTGAACTCCTCGTCGACCCAGCCCACGTCAGCGCCGCTTGGCTGCGTGTTGCTGTTGCGCTGCGGCAGGGGCTCCGGCACCGGCCCCGAGGAGCGCACGGGGCGGCCAGCTGTCAACTGCGTGTGATTGTGCGCCCTGTGCGTGCGCGCGCACGAGCGCGTCCGCGTGTGGGTGCGTGTGGGCCTCAAAGCGATCGGCCAGCTTGTCGCCAGCAAGTGCCCGGCGAGCACAGCCTCAGCTCGGCTGGGATCTTCTAGGCCCCTCTTTTGTCCCCCCCTACATAGACTATGCTGAGCGCCAGGCAGCTGCAACAACAAGCAAGCGAGGTGGCTGCTGCCAGGAGGACGCCTTCGACGTTGCGGGCGTCGCTTCGTAGCGCTTCCGACATGTCGTGCCGCCTCCAAGCCGGGTTCTCAAGCATCCTGAGCTCTAAAGAACCACTCCGCTTCACTCCACTGGTCCACCGCCCCCGCTCCGGTGCTCAGGTCTGTGCCGAAGAGAAGTGGCTGACAGGGTGTCTTGGACCTTGGCACCAGGCAGTCTGCAGGCTCTTGGAAGCCTCAGGGCTCTCAGCGGGGCACCTGCCTCTGCAAAAGGCCACCCGGAGCAACCAGCAGCAACTTCGCCACCCTGGCACCGGGGTTGAAGTTTCTACTCAGATTCTGCTCATGGCCACTATGTCACTGTGCGCTGTAGTGCCGCGGTGTGTGTGGAAGGTTTGATCTGCTAGTCGAGCCTTTCCGGGTGACGAAGCGCGAACTCTACGGCAATCACTCCACCTCTCCAGCCAGGCTCAGCCAAGCCAATATACCAGAAAATGCCGCGGGTTCTTCTTGCCGCCAAGGTGCCCATGCTAAATCCGAAGAGAAGCACCTGCGGTCGGAGTTCAAAGTGTGTAAGTTCCCTAACGGCTCGCTCAATTGCGCAGATGGTGTCTCGTTTACTGTGACCATGCGCAAACTGGTTTTGATGCCCTTTTAATTCGCTTTCCTTTCAGAATTTTGCCAGAGTAGATTCTGAAGAAGTGAAAGAACGCCACGACGACCATGACGATCACAGAGACCACCAGGAGACCAGCAAGCAACCAGGAGACCAACAGGAGACCATTCGAGACCACGACCAGGAAGGATGATTAGGGATTAGGGAGCTCAGCGTAGTGGCGGCTCCCGGACCACGACCAGAGGCTGACCAGTTCTCTTTACTCTCCAGGCAATGTACCACACTGTTCGGGGATAAGAACGAAGCAACGCGATCACAAGGGATCGCAGAAACGGTGAGCAAAACGAAGGACGGGTTGAAACAGACAGTGTCCCAAACTTGCCGACCACACCGAGAATAACTGACGGCACGTACCATGATTCATTGCCCAGCAAGCGCACCTTCTCTGTAGGCGGCACTTTCACCGCCTGCAGCAAGGACGACACCTCGGGCTCGGCACAAAACTCTCTCATCTCGCCCGCTGACCGGCCCGGCCTGGTTCACGTAGGCTTCCAAGTCGAGGCGCCCTCTCGCTGCGCTCAGCCCAAAGCCATACCTCAAGCCCGTAAGACGACCCCAGTTTGCACCTGCCTGTGGTCTCAGGCTTTCTCTACTTTCCGAAATTTCCCAGGGCCACGGCAGGTCGAAGCAAAGGACTCGAAAGCCACTCTCTGCCAGACGCGGCCTGGGAAGTACGTCAACATATTGGCTGGGTCGGCAACCGTGCAAGAAGCCATACTTGTCCGTGTCGCGCCCTCCATCCAGGCCGCATCTTTCGATATTTCGCTCTAGCTGATCTGTCTGTGGATCGTAACATGGCTTCAAGCCTTAAGTCCCTTAAGTGATTGACCTCGAATACGCATATGCACGCACATCTGTACATTGTGTAACTTTGCATACGCTGTATGTGTATGGAAACGCATATGTAAACAAGTACCAACTAACATCAACGCATGTATCTGTGCTGGTACAGGCTAGGCAAGTATCGTAGTATATTCCTGTTTCCTTGATCGTGTCTGCGACTACGCATCCACACGAAATTAGATAAACTTGACTCGACAAATAGCAAGTATATGTGCGTCGATCTAGGGTACATGCGTCCATGCATGCCCGGCATAAGCACCTCCCCGCACATTGCATCCACCTGTACACAGAAACATATTGCAAAATATCATCTATGCATTATGTATATACGTACAACATATATACCTATAAACCTTTACAGACATACATAGATCTACATACATACAGACATGCAGAGATACTTAATTGCACAAGTACGTACCTATGCAAACACCTGCCTACCTTCCTACCTACCTACCTACCTACCTACCTACCTACCTACCTACCTACCTACCTACCTACCTGGACCTACCTGGACCTACCTACCTACCTACCTACCTACCTACCTACCTACCCTCGTATGTACATGCAGACTGGCCCGTTCTTTTATTAAGTCAGCTCATTCATTCTTAAGCATCCGGTCAAATGCACATACACATGTGCACAGGCAGCCATGTGATGTGCGTATACCGATACATGCACCGCACAGCAGCAACAAGCTCTTTGGCTTCTGCGCACACATCCCCTTATACACTAGCGAACCGCGTTTCCAGTTGCAGTCGGCATGCACCATGCAACAAGAAAGACCTGACCCGGACGTGTCCATCGTTGGACCTCAAGATGTCTCAGGCTTCGACGCAACGCTCTCGAAGCTGGAGATGCAGCCGTTCAAGCCGTGTATGCAAACGACCAGCGGCGCCGGGATTGGAGGCCTCTGAAATTCAATAAGAACAAACCCTACACTTGCTGATCTCGCTCCTGTACATGCAACTGATTTCCCTGTTTGCTGCTGTTCTGCCCCCTCCTCGCCCACTACTAAGAGAAAGCTACTACGACTGCAACGGGTACTACGATCACCACGGCTAACTACATCCAACTACGGAGACCTCTACGCATACAAAGACTGCCACGACGACCAATACTACGACGACTGCGGCAACAACGACAACATCAACAGCCACAGCCACAGCCGCAGCCACAACCACAACCACAAGCACAACCAACCACAACTACCACTCAACCACGACCACGACCACAACTAGAAGCACAACCACAACCACAACAATCACAACACTCACAACCACTGCCACTACTCTGACCGCTTACCGCTTACCACTACGACTCCGACGACGACGACGACGACGACGACGACGACGACTCCTTAAACCGTGTACGTCCACCTTCAAGCTTCCGAAATATTTTCTTATGGTCGTTGTGAACTTTTATGGGTATTAGAGGTTAATGTCCACCTTCCAGTTTCCAAATCTTTTTGTTTGTAGGTGTTGTGAACGTTTCATGGATACTAGAGGTTTGTAACGCGAACGTCCACCTTCAAGTTTCTAAATCTTTTCTTATAGGCGATTTGAAACGCGAACGTCCATCTTCAAGTTTCTAAACCTTTTCTGGTAAGCGTTGTCAACATTGGCTGGATGCTAGAGGTATGCAGCGCGAACGTCCACCTTCAAGTTTCTAAACCTTTCTTATAGGCGTTGTGAACTTCCTTGTGAACCGTCTATGGATACTAGAGGTTCGTAACGCGAAACGTCCACCTTCAAGTTTCTAAATCCTTTCTTGTAGGCGTTGTGACTTTTTATGGATACTGGAGGTTTGTAACGCGAACGTCCACCTTCAAGTTTCTAAATCTTTTCTTGTAGGCGTTGTGACTTTTTATGGATACTGGAGGTTTGTAACGCGAACGTCCACCTTCAAGTTTCTAAATCTTTTCTTGTAGGCGCTACAAACTTTGTATGGTTTGTATCGCGAACGTCAACCTTCAAGTTTCTAAATCTTTTCTTGTAGGCGCTACAAACTTTGTATGGTTTGTATCGCGAACGTCAACCTTCAAGATTCTAAATCGTTTCGTATAGGCGTTGTGAGCTTTTTACGGACACTAGAGGTTTGTAACGCGAACGTCCACCTTCAAGTGTCTAAATCTTGTCTTGTCAACTTTGTATGGATACTACAGGTTTGTAACGCGAACGTCCACCTTGAAGTTTCTAAGTGGTTTCTTATATGCGTCCTAGTCCTAGTCCAACTACAAACGCAACTACAACTACAACTACTATTGCTCCTCCTGCTGCTGCTGCGATCATGTCAACAGGCATGGCGCACCCCATCAGCAAGTAGTTGACTTCGCCGCAAGCCAAGCGCGCGCCTCAGTCGGTGGAATCCCCGGGCTTTGACAAAGCGGTGCAGGCGCCACTTTCCGGGAGTCGAACATTGACCGCGGACGAAGGGGCCAGAAGCCCGAGGAGGCTTGCGCGCGGCTGGTGTAGCTGCCGGAGTGCCGGGGTTGGAGTTTGGATCTGGCTGCGGCTGGGACAAGTGCCCTGGCCCGAGCGTCCTTGAAAGCAAAAGGCGTCAACCAGTGATGCATATTCAAACTCATATGCTAAGCCAGGCACGGGCCAAACGCTGGCATCTAGCCAGCCGTGCATGTGGCTCTGAAAAGACAGGTGGGCTCCAGAAAAGTTTACGCTCCATAAGTTTGCTTTACCCGTGCAAAGCACCAGTACTTGGGTTACTGGCAGTGGCGGCGATGACGCTGTCTTGAGCTACGCTGAAGGCATACAATCACGAGCTTGACTCCTGAGACTTGCATTGTATGAGCCCAGAAGCTGACCAGGACTTGAACCAGTTCTCCACAAGTATTCTCCAGCCTACTTCCCCGCAGCTTTCCAAAGTGTCCAAACCACATGGTTCATGGGTTCATTCACCATTGGACCATTCGCCTGTAGACATCTTATGCAACGACCCGCAACGCTGTGCAAGCGTGCCCGAACAAGCGCTTCAACTACAGAGTCGTGACCGTGCCGGTAGATTTAGTAGCATCATGAGATGCAGTGGGCGGTGATGGGATAAGAAGTTAGCATATACCATTTCCATTTTCTAATCATGCACCACCCCCTAGCACCCAAAACATAACAACCTGTACCTCAACCCTGAGCCCACCGAAAGACCCATAGGTAGAACCCTAGGAATAACTCACCCAAAGACCCAAAACCATAACAACCTATACCTCAACCTTGAACTCACCAAAAGACCCATAGGAAAGACCCATACCATGGAACCACTAAAAGACTCATACACCACCACATAGAAAAAACTCACTCTAAACCTCATACACCAACACCCCCATAGAAAAACCTATATGCCCAACCCGAAATCCCTAACCCTAGAAAAT